ATAGTGCTGTGGAAACTCATCAATAAAAAGGCTGAGTTGTTTTAGCTTTTGACAGGTGGAAAACACCTGTGTGGAAGCCTGAACGTAATGTAAATTCCAGGCAAATTCGGTGTCAGAGCTCAGTTTGGTTATTTACGAACATCATTGCTGATGAATCATCCTGCAAGTATTGATGTCTTGGGTCACTGAACATAAATGGTATATGACAGCAAGAGCGGAGTTTGAAAAGATCAGAGGGCGATGGAGCAGCTGAGAGGAACAAGTGGTGCCCTCATGTATTCTGCTGGCATTGGCAACATTACTGATGTGCTCAAGTGAAGGCCTACACCTTGACCATTGAGCTGGAATTATAACAGGAGGGTAAAATGCACTCTAATTTCGGGAGAATCCCAATAGTTTCAGACCTGGGGAGAACAGAGGAATGTAATCAAATGAAAACCTTTCTTCTTATTTTATTGAACATATAGATGCATTTTCCAATTGGACAAATCCATGCAACCTCAACAGTTCTGTCTGCTCAATTGCAGAACTTCCAAAGTGTGGCGCACAGCCGGTTAGCAACTGTGTTGTTGCTTTCAGGTTCCTGTCATAAACTCTCGTTGCGTGAAGATGCATATCCATCTAGAACCTATTAACATTAAAGAAGTTGGCGGACGCATCATAAACACACACAATATTATTTATATACTGACTGTCATTTAAACATTTCCCCATATTGAGCAACAAACTCATATTTTCACCAGGAACTGCTTCCGGGGATGCTGGTGTTTGTTGATACTTTGTTTTACGATATTCGTACAGTCTCTTAAAGGCAGCACCAGCATCCTCGATGACGCTCCGCGGTGCATTATTTTCGTCCTCCTGTCGCCGCCATTGCTGCCATGCTAAGAACACCTTTGAGCAGCTGTGTGCGGTTAATTTCATCAAGTTAACAGAGATTTTGTTTTTTACCGTGAAGCTCCTACCGCTGGGAAAGTACCCCGATTACACCGACTCAACAATCAGCGAACTCACTGCGGTATCCGTTACAGTTAGCAGAGACAATAAGTTAGCTAGCTAACTCGCTAACGTCCATTTGCAAAATAAGCTAGCGTAGGTGGTAACAGCGACGCGCTCGGGCTCCTGTCCCGCTGGTGTTTTCCTCCCACCGAGGTTACTTTGCAGACGCACTTGAAGATGTCGCTACACGGAAAACGTAAAGAAATCTACAAATACGAGGCGCCATGGACGGTTTACGCCATGAACTGGAGCGTCCGGCCGGACAAACGGTTCCGCCTGGCGCTCGGTAGCTTCGTGGAGGAGTACAACAACAAGGTGAATTCATCTCGTCCCGTCGCTGCTGCTCCTCGGGAGACGTGAGCAGTGATGGCGACGGGCTCCTTAAACCGTAGACCTGTCGGAGCGAAGGAGATTTGACTGTGAATGTCATGCATTCGCTTTTATTTGCAGTAGAAATGCCCCCCCTCCCCCCCACGGGGAAGTAACGGTTTACATTGTTTTGATCTGATAGCGAGCGTTAGTTTTAGCTATAAATTGGGCAATAATTATATAGCTTTTAAAAAAAATCATTCCTCATACGGTACTGCTGCACAGGGGACTATTTTAACCAGGACGAATGGCAGAAAGTCTGTCTGTGCGTTTATAATATATTTTGGGATGATTGAAGGGAGCAGGTCGTCCTCTTGGCAGCATGAATATAAATACATTCATCTTATCACGTCCATTACAATGCTATGGAAGAAGTGAGTTACAGACTTTTCAAAACGGGTAAAAGGTTTGATAAATTAGTTTTAAATAAATATTGACTTCAGAATCCGGAATCAGGAAACATTTATTGCCAATATATGTCAAACATACAAGGAATTTGTCTTTGCAGTTGGTGCGTGACAGTGACTTTTTGTTTTACTTGAAATGTCGTTAAAATAAATTTGGTCTTTTATTTGGTTTCATCTTGCGGTGCTGGAAATGCCGATCTCTGATTGTGTGTAAATCATTTCTTAAGATGACAATTTAAATCATGACCCACTATGAAGCAGTGCTGTGAAGCTGTCTGAACCTGACAGATAGTCAAGGAAAATTGATAGTTAGAATTCCCCAAAATTTCTTAATGTGTTCAGTTTATATTTGATTACCGACTTTTTGCAGACATTTTAATTATCTAGCTGTGACTACCAACTATATTATCAATTATCACCACCACCATCGGAAATGGACATATGGTCGGAGTTATTAGTTTGTAAAATGTGACACAATGATGAAATGGTTCAAGTTGAATATTAGTTGCTTTGAGTTATTATAATGTATCTCTAACTGGATTATCCCATCTGAGGATCCCAGGAATCATCATCATCATCATCATCATCATCATCATCATCATCATCACCACCACCACCGTTCACAGCCCTGACTGTGCTCAGTCAGTAATGTTAATCTGACCCACTAAAGGTGAGTTGTTATTGTTTATTTACAGGTGCAGATCGTCGGTCTGGAGGAGGAAAACTCTGAGTTTGTGTGTCGAAACACTTTTGACCACCCCTACCCCACCACCAAGGTCATGTGGATTCCGGACAGCAAGGGGGCCTACCCTGACCTGCTGGCCACCAGCGGAGACTACCTGAGAATCTGGAGGGTAAGAACACCAGTCTGACCAGAACCTATGGACTGTAATCAGAAACCAATATTACAGATACCATAGAAGGCCTGATATACTGATCATCCACACTCCACGTTTCGATTTTTCCTTATGTCTTTACAATTGAAAATGCAATTTGATTTTGCAATATGTAAAAAGGTTAAAACGTGTTTCTTCTGACAGGTGGGGGAAACAGAGACCCGACTGGAGTGTCTGCTTAACAATAACAAGAACTCCGACTTTTGTGCACCGCTCACATCCTTTGACTGGAACGAGGTGGACCCAAACTTGTTAGGTAAAAACTATGTGTAGGGTTACCTTTGAGGAAAATTATCACGTTGGATATTTTTTAGTAAATTCCTCTATAAAAAAAAAAATAGAATAAATATGAAGTCATTTGAAAGGGAGGGTGACTTTGTGTATATGTTTTCTATGCAGGTACTTCTAGTATCGACACTACCTGTACGATCTGGGGGTTGGAGACTGGACAGGTGCTGGGTAGGGTCAACCTGGTGTCGGGCCATGTCAAGACCCAGCTCATCGCACATGACAAGGAGGTAAATGTGGTCACAGATCGAACTCTCCCTTTCTTCCGTTTAATGTAACGGCATGTAAAAGTAATTCTCCCCCGTCTTCCATCTTGGCTTAGTTGATCACAACTCACTGTCTGGCCTTGTTGCAGGTGTACGACATCTCTTTCAGCCGAGCGGGGGGTGGCAGGGATATGTTCGCGTCAGTGGGAGCCGACGGCTCGGTTCGCATGTTTGACCTCCGTCACCTTGAACATAGCACCATCATCTATGAAGACCCCCAGCACCACCCACTGCTCCGGCTCTGCTGGAACAAGCAGGACCCTAACTACCTGGTCACCATGGCGATGGACAGCATGGAGGTGAGTGCTGCTCCCTTTGTCATGCTATAAGGCTTTTTTGAAGGCATGAATTTTTATAGAATGTGTTTTGTGGCCGTGTATCAAGATCTATCAGTTCTCTTTTCATCAAATCCTATTTGCTGCCATTTCCTGTCTAAACAATCTTTTTTTTTTTCTTGTGCTCAGGTGGTAATTTTAGACGTGCGTGTGCCCTGTACTCCGGTGGCCAGACTCAACAACCACAGGGCCTGTGTCAATGGAATCGCCTGGGCGCCCCACTCCTCCTGTCACATCTGTACAGCAGGTACGCACATTTTTATTAAACAAAATGAGATGTAAAGTGTGCAATGACTGAGCGAGAGCACAAGAGGGAGCTGCTCGGACATAGAGCCAAGTCCAGGCCAATAGTTTGGATCATTTCAGATTAAAAAATTTTAATTGGTCATGAAAATAAAATAATATTCAAAAGTAAAGTATTCAAACAAAATCTGAGCGCTAACTTAATGAATACACAATTCTGAGAGACAATTTGATGGACTCACTGGTTTGCGTTGCATTCAGTACTTGCAAAGCAGATGTCATTTTCAACGTCAAATATAAATTTGCATATCTATTATTCCTCCGAAGGATTGTTTTTTAATATTCAAATTGTGTCCAAACCTTTTGAATGGTACTGTATATATTAATATATATTGAATTTTACAATAATGATGGACAGCCGTATAGAGTGCAGCAGAATGTGAATGTTAAAGAAAAGCAAACACCTCGACTAACCGCCGTTCTGTGTCAAATTCCTTCTTTGGCTGGTTCAGGTGACACAGCAGATTTTCTGTTTCCATATTTCATATTGTGTGGCTACATTTACATGCTATATACTGTGTGAAGACTACCTTTTAAAATCAGTCAGCAGTTTGCACACTCATTGGCCCCATAGCTCAACACACTGGGGTTTTGCTTGGTTACTTGTTACAACTACAGCGTATTTAGAAAATAATGAACCAGGAACATTCGACTCAACGACTGCTGTGCGTGTATTTGCACCATAAGTCATCTTTTTGACAATACACAGTGAGATTTGAGGACAGACGTACAGACTTGCGTGTGCGCACACACACACACACACACACACACCTTCCTGTTAAAACGAGATGAACCAATTTAAATCAAACCTCCCCCCGTGTCTTTCTAGCGGAAGACCACCAGGCTCTAATCTGGGACATCCAGCAGATGCCGCGGGCCATCGAGGACCCAATACTGGCCTACACAGCCGAGGGAGAGATCAATAACGTCCAGTGGGCCACCACCCAGCCCGACTGGATCGCTATCTGCTACAACAACTGCCTGGAAATCCTCAGAGTCTGAGCTTCAGTCGTGAAGAACTGAGGCAACTCAAAAACATTTTCAATTGAATTAACAGGCTGTTTTTAAGGAGGACGCAGCACTATTCAGTCCATGCTCGTCTTGAGTTCATGTTGGTTCAAATAATGTGTGTAAAGCTTTTTTTTTTTTTTCTTCAACTGAAAACGAGAATACATCGGCGCTTGATTTTGTGATACAAAATCAAAACATCCTGTATCAGAAAACTCAGAGCCAAAACAAAAATGGTAACTGAATCTCAAGAAACTGTTACAAACAGAAACGAACCGAGGTTCAATAGCCTCCAAACTTTGTTTGATGTCTCGTAGGCAAAAGGTCTAGCCAGTTTCATGTTTTTTATATGCTATTATGGTGCATTATATGTGTAGGTTTACCCATTACATCCTCAACCATTCATTTTTATGATGCAGAAAAACTGTAGTTTAGTCACATTTAAAAGTGGATTGAATGTGGTTAATGTGACTTTTAAGTGTTCATATATTCAATTGTTTTTTAACCTAAATACATGTGTAACTAATTATCATTTGTGATATGTTGTGATACATTCATTACATGTGTGACAATTTACATGTGTTAATGCTAGGGTTTGTAGTCTTTATAAACTAGCAGGATTATGCTAGATTACAAAAATGATCCAAATGAGGAACTCCAGAGTCTTTTTCCAGTCAGAGGCCACAGATCCAAAAGTTGCAAATCTAGTAAAGTATTTCCCTTCAAGCCTCCTCCATAGACTCACTCTAGTATGTAAGTGAACATCATGTTCAGTGTTCGTGGCCGCTGTCTGGCTGCTAACCGGTGGAGCACTTCGGTGATGTGGAGAGAGGCGGGATGAATACGGCCACGTAGCCGCCGGGTTCTGACTCCGCCTGCAGCCACAGATACGGGATTTCCTTCCTCTGGTCGTCCTCCGAGCATCGGATTCATTCATTGATTGCTCTCAATATTTAATTTGAACAGATGTTACCCACCTTACCTTTTAAATATTGACCATAATACAGATTGCTATTCAATTTGTGCACCAATTATTTATTCAACAATTAATTTTTTACATACAGTCCCTCACAGATTAAACCATTCGACATTTTTATATTCAATTATTTCACAGTGAGGAGATTCATCAATAAATTGATAAGAATCTATTGTGCGGATTTACAGTTAGAAACGATAAGATGCTGTTACTGTTTAATACTGAAAGACTCCCTGAAGTAGTACATCCTACAGGGCTTCTGCAATACAGAGAAACTTACTACCTTTTTTGAACTGTCATTGTATAGCCAATGCTTTGAGTCCTGCTGTGATTTTTCAGTTCTGTTTTGGTAATGGGGGGGGATTGGGGGCAGTGGTAGGTTTTTTGGGGGTACCAGGTCATGATGTGTGATTATTTGCTAAACAGAGTTGGAAAACCTCTCGTTCATAATTTATTTTCACAAATTTGGTCCAGAAAAGAATTTTCTTTTTTTGTTGGGATTAGATGGGCAGAGTGTCTCAGCCAGCCATTGGGTATCTTAGTTTAGCAAAAAGACTAAAGAAAGTATGGTTTCATGGAGTTTTGTGTGCTGCAAAACGTCCTTGGCCGAGAGCATTTTTCAGTCACTCAGACCAGTGGGGACTCTATGGAGTCACTGCTCCTGTTCAAGATAAAAGGGATTGGGCGTATTAGAATTCTTTTGCAATCACCACAGAGTGTAATCCAGCGTCAACACTCTACAAAACCCTCGATCCAATTTCGATTCGATTCACTTCACTTCCTGTCCAGCCGCGTGTCACAACTTCACACTGGTCACCCTGAAAAACTCTCACTGCAGGTCGTCAGATGACAGACATCACGGGATCCGAGAGGTGTTTCTGGATCTCGGCGAGTCCCGCAGTGACGTCCAGGTTCCCCGGCAGTGACGGGTAGCGAAGGCCGCGGCGCAGCCCCGGGCCCACCGCGAGGGAGGCTCTGTCCGGCCGCGGCGGCATCGACCCCGCGTGGGTCTCGGTCTCCGGGGTGGTGGTTGTGAACATGGTGTCGTCCGACGCCGCGGTCACATGGATACCGCTGGACACGGACTCCTGCGACTCACTCTGAGCGAAGAAGTCCTACTTTTTATACTCATGCCTGAAGCAAACTTCCACAAACAAATCTCTTAGTAGTAGTATTCTCTACCTGTGTGGGTACACTGTCCATCTGAACAGGAGCAATGGGACACACGCTGTGCTGCCCTGTCCCAGTACTGGACGACACGGTGCTGTAAGCCGGAGGTACGATCTGCCTCTGAAGAAGTTGGAGAATGACGTTGATGTCGGCTGTCATGCGAGTCTCCAGTCTGGGGAATCAACAAACAGCGAGAATGGCCATTAAGTGAAGTAATAACCAACCAACAATCTTTCCAGCTTGTGGAATCATCAAATAAATGAGAGACATGAGGTTTCTAAGCATTTGTAGAGAGGCCCAGTCGATACTGCTGATGGCCGTCTCTGCCTTCACCTGTTGAGCTGTGAATGTAGAACCTCAAGTCGGGACTCCAGCTCACCGGGCCGTTCTTCTGTGAACGCCGGCGGGTGGTATGAGTCGCGGACGGATGAAGATCGCCAGGCTCGAGTGGGAAACAATGGCGACTGATGCTCTGGGCGGTATCGGTACATCTCCGGCACATTCAAAGAAGAAGCTGAGGGAAAACACAAAGACGTTCTTCACTATGAACCATCAACAAACAAACAGGAAGGACTCCATTTCGCACCCGTCTACCTTGGTCCAACGCTGCATCCCCCCCCAATGAGGTGTCACTCTGGGGGGGCAGCTGCACCACAGGGGGGGAATAGTCCCGTCTGGCATCTTCTGGCGTGTAAAGCTCCTCTTTGGCTTCGTGGTCCAGGGGTTTAGCCAGGTCTTCACTAGACTGGGAGCAATGGGATCCACAGCTACAGCGGTCATCCCAGTGGCTCTGAGGAGGCGAGTGGTGGTGGTGGAGGGGGTACGCCTCACGATCGCTTCCATCTGTTCACCAGAAAGCATTCAATTGCTTTTGCATCGCCTCTGCAATATCTTCACATTCGTGACGATTCAAATCGTCACTGATGCTTTTAGAGGCCTATCGCACTGATTACCAGCCTGAGCCTGGTAACAGATCTTACCCGGTCGGATTCGGCAGTCCAGGGAGTGGATTTTGTGTCTCGGCTTGTGGCGATACCCACAGTCGTCACCGGAGTCGTCCGTTGTTATTATTGGTGGTACCGGATCAGCCTGACGAAACACAGAAAGAAACATGGTGCACAATTTCTTTGGCTTTACAGACTCGCAACAGCAATCAACATGAAAAAAGTTAGATCTCCATCTTCAACATACGTCTCTTAGGTCAAACGTTATATCCAGGTTCCTCCAAAATTTTTCTGCAAAGGTCGGGTAGATGTCAAGGACCTCCAACAAATCGTCCCTCTGGACGCGGTGCAGGTCACAGTAGGTGATGGAGTACACTTCTGAGTTGGACCTCCCTGGCTCATCGTACAAGTGAATCGGCTCTCCAAAGATGTCGTTCTTTTCTGCAAGACCATAAACATTATTGATTATAAAATTCTTAGCAGATTATGTTTTTGGAGCATTTCTTTTCATCTATTGTGCGGTACCCAATATGGCGACCACTACATCGTCCTTGATGACCTGGATGGAACCACGTGAGATGAAGAAGAGAGAGTCCAGGATTTCCCCGTAGTGGATCAGCGTATCTCCTGGAGGAGCGTGGACCGTCTTGAATCTTATACTTAAAGCGCGAAGACACGCTTGGCTCCCTCCATGGAAAGCCTTACAGTTCTGCAGCAGAGATCTGTTCAAGTGCAGACAGATGTCGGCCTGCAAGGACTCTGGAAATCCCTTCAACACCTGAACAAGACCATCAGAATTTCAGCCATCGGATCCAAATAGGGCTACTGAACAACCTTTACAACAGCTGAAGGATACATTGGGACTCAGTCCTGCCACTTTTTACTTACGCCGTTCATGTCGATGCCATTTGTGTAGGACCAGGCGTGCTGGAAATACTCCTCCAGCCTTTGGCGAAGGCAGCCAGGGATTTGGTGGAATCGGAGAAACTCTTTCACTCGCAGCATCTGGGTGTGGTAGCGGGTCGTGCCAGAGTACAGCCGCTGGATGATGGCGGACACGTTCCCAAATATGCTGGCGTACATGAGAGCTGAGACAAAATCGACAATGAGGACACAGAGGGCCAAATGGGGGGAGAAAAATAAGCTCTGTGTAACAAGGAACTGCACAAAGGTAACTAGGGAAGGAGTCTTTTATTATTACATTAACATATCGGAGGGTATTGCAGTTATGGCGTTATTCAACTCACAGCCGATGACCATGACGCAGATGGAGAAGATCTTCTCCGAGTTGGTGTTCGGAGAGACGTTGCCAAAGCCCACGCTCGTCAAACTGCTCAAGGTGAAGTAAAGAGCCGTCACATACTTGTCTTTGACCGACGGACCGGAGGCGGAGTCACTGTCGTTGTAGGACTTGCCCAGCTGTTCGGCTAGGTTGTCCAGCCAGCCGGTCTCCGTGTACGGCCTCTCCACAAAGCCAATGGCGTACCAAATGCAGGCGAGCCAATGGGCGATGAGCACGAAGGTGCACATGAGCAAAAACAGGACAGCGGCCCCGTACTCGGAATACCGGTCCAGCTTCCTTGCCACGCGGACCAATCGCAGCAGCCGCGCTGTTTTCAGCAGACTTGTTAAGGTGGCCATCTTTGGTGTCCATTGACGACAGATAAGAAGGGGAAAATGGCCATTTAATTTACAGAAGCTTCAGATAACTCCAAGAAGTTTGGAAACTTTAGAGTTCTTACCTCGTCGGAGCCTGATCCGAAAATCAGAAGGTCAAAAGGGATTGCTGCGAACAGATCAATCGGGAACCAGCCTTTGATATAGTGTTTGGCTATCCGGCTCGGCCGCGTGATCACCTCGTCATTTCGGTCCACGTACGTTGTGCGAAGGTTGATGACTATGTCCACGATGAACAGCACATCCACCAAAAGGTCTGCCACGTTCAGAGGGTCGCATGTGAAGCCGCAGCCCCGTCGACGTAGATCCCCGTGTTCGTCCAGGAGGAAGGTGGCAGAGAAAGGCGTGAAAACAGCCGTGTAGAGGACCAGAAGGAGAATAATCCAGTCCCAGAATGCCTTGAAGGGACTGTAGTGAAGCAAGATCCACCATGTGGTCTCCGGCACTTGCAGTTTGTGTTCCGGTAGCACATCTGACTCCAAAGAAAGTACCTAAACAAAAAGAATATATTCAACTTTTCTAATCCTAATCCTTCAATTGTCTACCTTCTATAGGCAAATCTGCCCTTCAGCGTGCGCTGTTAAGTGTCATTTGATTGCATTTCACCAAACAAATACAACTGCATTAACATAATAAAACAGCATTTGTCTCAATTTTTGTTTAAATGTAAAAACAAGTATATACTCTGAACCAATGCTAACAAACGGACCTTCCTAGATGTCATATTTTGACCTAATTCTCGGTGCAGGCTGCCTGCCTTGGTTTTGCAACCTTGTAGGTCCAACAGATCCTTGACCATGCTGTCGTTGGCGACCCGACGATGGCGAGACTTGAGTTAAGATTACATCCACACAGGACAGTTAATTTTCCACTAGTCTTCAAAGAGCAAAAATTGTAGTATGCTGCGATCAACCGTGCAGGTGCTGGAGGGCTGGAACGATGAGTTGGGCGTCACAGTCCCACAGCTGCCACAGTCCTCGTGTTCCCCTTAACCCCAATTCTCCAGTGAACATTTGCGGCCGTGATTCACGTCACTGACCTTGCAGACGGACGCATCCGTCTACTAGGTATGCAGATGAATAGCCAAGTGTGCCCCGTCTACGAACGGAGCCGTGATCTGACGGGAATCAACAAGTGATCCGGGGCGGCGAGGTCACCGGTGGCTGCAAACACTCGCAGTGGTTCAGTATCTATCGGATCCAGTGGAGGCAGTGATGCAGAATGTGGAGCCGCAGGGCTGCAGCGGCGACTACAGCAGCTCGGAATTGAACTGCGGTTCAATAAGGCTCTCCGCATCCAGGAGAAAAACAGCCCGGTAGCAAACATCTACTGATTTTTCCACCAGCGTAATAACGTCAGCCTCCCTTGTGGGGGCCTCAAAAAACATGTTTAATGTGAGCTGTTTAATGAAGGACGGATGCGAGCAGTGATACGGTTTGGTGGCCAATGGTTAGGTCGGTTCATTTCGGGCCTTCAGAACAGTCCGTACCTGCGTGACCTTCTCTGTGACGCTGTGAGAGCGGTCCTTCCCCTTGGAGGGGCTGAGCAGCTCCATCCTGGGGCTCTGAGGTGAGTGGGATTCAGGGCCCCCACTCTTCATGAGGTCCGAGTCGGACATGGAGCTCAGCTGGCCTACGGGCAAACAGAAAATAAGAATAAATAAATATTCACTGCAAAGACATCTTTGTTTTTACCAATAATTACTGATATAACTAGTTATTGTATTTTGGTCATGTAGTTTTTTTGCTATACTGAAATTTTACTGTGGATCCCTTCTGCTTTATTTATGTAAGATTCACCTCTTTTCTATTTTCTATTCGAAATTTCACTTGGAAAATCTCAGTACGTTTAAATTTTTTTTTTAAAAGCTACTCTGTGATTGTTTATATTCTGTAACTAATTCCTCTCTGCTCATTTCCCACAATGCCCACGTAGCTGTGCCCCTCCCAAAAATACTCGCCCCTCAAATACTGGATCGTCTCAGATCTTGACTCACTCGGTGTTCCTGCAGAGGGAACTTATTTTGGAAAAAATCTCTCTGCTCTCACTAGTGGATCAAATGAAGCCCAGTTTCTTATAAAGTAAATAAAACACAACCTACCTGATTCGAAACCAGACACTCAAATCCTTCCTGATTCGACCCCCAGACGGTCACGACACAAAAATATCCGTCCTTAAAGACAGATTTTGGACTCATGTTTTCAAAAACCTTCACTCTTCTCTTTCATGGTTCATATTTAAGCAAAATGAATGTGGTTCTTTCATCCGGATGTCGATGTGGACCCTCCGCTGAGGCACAGGGCGGAGGACTGGCCTGCAGCTCGCACGTTGTCACAGAATATTTGCCCACATGGGAAACCGATCGATGTTGTGCTATAGACAGAAACCGGCAGGAAAATCTATGACTGGTATTGATAAAAAGAGCAAATGGGTTTAGAACCATTGCACTGTACCTGTTGATATCAAATCATGTCTTGTATGCAGTTCAGTGTAGGTCTAGCATGCAGTTCAGGCTGTACCACAAATTAAATATAGTTCTATAGTAGAGGTACGGCGCTCGCTCTCTCTAAGTAACGTGCAAACTGTTGCTGTGGGAGCTTATTGACTGCAATGTTGTGGGTGGTACATTAATATGAGGGGGGGTAATGAGCTGTGATGATTTAATCTCCAAATGTCCTTCAGCGGTAACCTTTAGTCATCTATGTATAGATCTATACAAATGTAGATCTATATAGATTTATATAGATTTGTTAGGAGTTTGTTATATCTGCACTTCACTCTGCAGAATATACAACGGCTCTTTGTGTCTTCAGAGACTGTTTTTACGTTCATCAAATGATAGTTTCATCATCAATATATAAACAAATAGATATTTTGAAATTACACTTTGACAGAATATTTTCATTCTGTAAACAATCCGATGTGCGATCAGCTAACAAAAAGGGCCATCTTATTATTACTTGAAAAACTGTTCTAAAACAAAAAGTAATTTCCCTCATCTTTACTCTGAAGAAGTAGCGTTGTAAACTTCACATGAAATCCCCGTAGGGCCGTCGTGATGAGGGTCTCTTCTGTTACCTGCTGTTCATGAACTTCTTCCAAGAACACGTTGACAAAAGAAAATAATCATTTTAAATTTCATTTCCAAGTTCCACAAAGAAAAGAATTGCCTATACACTCATTTTTTCATACTGATTTGCACTGGCGTTGTTGAGAAGTACTTCCATCTTTTCTCTGTGGAATCAAATCTCCCACATGTGTCCATTCAAGCGCTGAGGAGGCGCGCTCAGCTGTCCGCCTGGATGTTGTCCCAGACTCGAACTACGTCCGGACAGTCATTGAGGGCTTCGATGAGCGTGGACGCAGCGTCCAGCTGCTCCTGGTCCAGAGGGCAGAGGGTGCGCGGAACAAACTCCAGCCCGGCGGACGTGATCTGCATTCCCAGCTGCTCCAACGAGGCCCGCACCTTCCTCACCTCCGCCATGTCACAAATAAACTGAGGGGAGAGAACGAGATCGCGCTATTCAAACGGCGATACTCGCTTAGTGAGTGCATATATTCTTACGTGGATTCTCATCGCTCTCCTGCAACGGCGCCCTGCGTCTGACCTGCAGGAGAGGCCGCTCCTCCTCGTCCTCGGTGTCTTGGACGTCTTCGGCTCCGGCCTCGATGGCCAGCTCCAGAGCTCTCTCCGTGGAGACGTTCTCCCCCGGCACCAGAACAACCCCCCTCCTGTTGAAGTTGTGGCGCGCTCCGTCTGACAGCATCGCCCTGCAGGCGAGGGGTGTGAGAAAACCATTGCACGCTACAAACTATATTGTGTAATCATTTGATTTAATACATGAAAGCACATTTTTTTCCATAAATTGTTTGCATATGTGCAGCCAGATAAATATGTTGGTACAGGGACATCTAGTGGCCTACTGGCCTTTGTGATCACTGCAACTAACCAGTGTGTGTAATTACTGCATTATCTTATACATCGAATGTGTGCATTGGCCCGTTGATCCTCAACGTGAGAAGACAGGAGGAGTGTTTCAGAGTCACAGCAGAGTGAGATCATGGAAAGCTGACCTGTTCTTGGTAAGCACGCGTTTGATTTCCTGGTGGGTCCGTGTGTTATTGTCACTCAGGACCTCAATGAGCAGCAGGTACCCGGCGGGCCCCCGAGCTTCAAACATATGCTGGGACGCTGGTTTAGCTTTTTCCTGTAAACCCCAAGACAAAAAGACGTAAATGAGATCCAGCGGCGCGTTATCAGACCACTAAGCAAATTCCCATTATACCAAATGATAAGTCACATCATTGGACCGTCTCCATGTTCAAATATGAGACAAATGAAGGATTTGTATTTTGAAGCAAAGGTCTCCATCCTGCTAATAGATCTACGTCAAGGAGAACCTGTCTTTCAGTGGTCCTTTCATTTGCATGTGTGTCAGTGGGTCGCCGACCTACCGCACTCCTGATTGCAGCCTCCACTGCTGCTTTGGGCATGTTCTTGTTCCTGCACTGCTCCAGTACTTGGGCCAAGTTTAAATTCATGTCTGGGTTGGGGCCCCCTTCTGCAGACAAAACCGACGTTGACATTAGTTTTAATTGACAAGAAAACCCCTCCAACTGCAGCAGGCCGTTAAATCTCACCTTTCACAGCGATCTTAATCAGCATGCCAAACTTCATGAACATCCGGCCCCTCGCTTCGTCTTTAGGCCCCTTGATGTTTTTCACCTTTGACCACTTGTTGTGTCCCGCGCACGCGGCGCTGGACAGCTGCAGCGTCCGGACAGAGGAGCTCCTCCACGGCGGGGACGACACGCACGGAGTCGCCGGTGGGACGCGAGCCCCCGGCACCGGGAAGCTGCCCGGGGTCGCCTCCGGTCCCCGGCGGAGCAGGGTCCGGAGAGCCCTCAGCGCCGCCGCCGCCCCCGCCGCCATGCCCTTCAAAACACGGACAACCGGAGCGTCAGCTGACGCGGTGTGACGGCGGGCTGCTGTGCGCGTGGAACGGACTTTAGCAACAACGCATTTCTCATGTCGATAAAGAGGTTAAACAGCCCGGAAGTTCTCAAACGTACAGTTAGGACGAGTCAGGCGAACACGGCGCTGCTGTCCTTGCTGAGAAAGTGGCACTTCCGGGTTGTGACGTCAGAAACGGCGTTTTCAAAATAAATGTCGTATAAATTAACACGCGTCAGTTTTATGTGAACAGTTTTGTTGTTGTTTGTTTGTGCAAACAAACACAACATAAAACGTGTACATTTTTATGCTATATTATTTGTTTTTGTCTTATTTGAAATTATTCGAATGTACCATCCTGTCTCTCCATATTGTGTTAACATGTCCTGCAACTAATTCAAATTATTCAAATATTTTCATTCACTTGTTAATTAAAGCATTATGTTTACAGATATTTTGTCACGGGAGAAGAGAAGAGACGTTTTTAAAGGATTACACAAACTATGCTAGCTCTTACTGAGGTTTTGTCCCCACAGGTTTTCTATTAAGAAAATAGTGTTTTTTTTAAATAATTTAGTCTCAAACATCTTCCTATAAGATTACCCATACATTTGAAATTGGAATGGAAATGTGTAATACATTCTGAACCATGGTAACCTAAAATCTCCCGGGGGTATTTCTGGTGTAGAACAACTGAGGATTATCAACTCCAATATCTCACAAACTGATCCCAAAAATAACAATAACAAACGCCTGTCCAATATATATATATATATATATATATATATATATATATATATATATATATATACATCATATCAGCTAGTGTCAGGGAGGTTATCACTATAGATTAAACGTTCCATTTATATAACACAAAGAGCAAAAAAAGTGTGAGTCTGGTCTTTATCGTCTTCTAAAATGTCACAGCGGGGCAACTGTACCGTCTCTTTCATTCAGTTGTGATGACGGAACATAATAACAATAATAGTATTATGATCCAGTCTCTTATTTAGGAATAAAAAAACACGAACATACTGTTTGTATGGAATTTCTGAAGAATACGAGACCATCGCAACTGGATGGTAAAAGCAAACATCACTCAGTCTGGAACGAGATAAGAGCAGAACGGCAGCAACAGTCAGGTGAGCAGACACTCAGACAGATGACCACTGCAGGGAGCACAAAGAGTTAAGTGAGACGAAGCCACAGCCAATCAAGGCCAACTGTCTCTGATGGACGACAGTCCAAAGCCCCGTAGAAGGAGGAGAATTCGTCCACGGTGCTTCACAGTGCGTCTCTTCTCACATGCTGGCGGACCTTTATGGTCTTTCTCAAACGGGGTTAGTGACGCCCACTGAGCCTCTGCAGAGAAGAGACATTTTTAAAGGATTATTTCCGGTATTTTAAAAAGATCCCAACGCCCAAGAAGATACTAAAATTGGCCGACGAAGATAAAAATAACTACGACATGTAGGTACAACTTTGGGATACAAGTTCCTTCAATTCCACCCGTGGAGGACAAGATGATCTGACGGTGATTGAACGTCCTGTTTGAGTCGACAGCTGAGAAGACATGATGCTGTCTGCACAGGGAACTGGTGCATTGGCTCTTTTCCACAGTGTCGTACTGGTGACTGCACTGGTAAGTGCACTCTCCTTGCCCGATGTGTTTAGGTGATTTAGTTGTTGATGAAGTTTCTTTTTCTTTTTCTTTATAGCTTTAGTTCCTTGAGTTAGACATGAATGTTTGCAAAAAATCGTGTTTTATTATTTATGCAAACCTGTTCTCAGGAATCTTATTTGATTTAGATAATGATAGATACATTAAACTTCTTGAAATTATGGGAAAATCCCCATCTTAAATAATAGGCACACAGAAATTCCCAGTGTCTTTGTCCCGTGTATGAAGAAATGGCTTTTATGTTCTAAAAGTTTTCACACAGTAGCATCATATCTTACACTATAACATTACACTGAGTCAGAAATAATGCACCCATACAGCTGCACTTTGAGCCCAAATGTAGAAAATGTCATCTATCCGTGACTTTCTTTCATCGTTTGAATATCTGGAATTAGATTCATCTCGTGCTTCAGGGGAAATCTTCCAGCCATTGATCAACAAGACTGACAACAGATTAGATGATGGATATTTTACTTTTCAGAACAAAGACGGGATACGGAATATGGTTCTTTGCAGCAACTATTACTGCAAACTTTCCTCCAAATCCTCATGCCCAAAAATGAGCCACTAAACAAGTTGGGAATTGCAAAGGTTAAACACATACAAAGAAACGCACACACAAAACGACGCCTTTGACCTTTCACCCACTGAGGCCCGACGCTCATCTCTTCGTCGTCCTCGGGTCGATCCTGAGAGCCTCGGGCCGGCGTACAACCTCCCGCTTGCGAACCCCGAAAATCACTTTGCATGAAGCAAAGGCGTGAGGGGGCAGATTTAATTACGACACAAAGGCGAGCGGCTGTCCAGCCCTGATTGTTTTATTGACACTTCCCGTTCGTCAGCATGACCCCCCCACCCTCGCGCGCCAAGAAAAGTGAACGACTTCTCTCCATCGACTTGCATTTATTGAATTTTGAATATGTGTTGTGGAGGCAGAGCCTTTGTTTGACATCTTGAATAACTAATTGTGGTCCTGCATAATCGACACGGTCCAGAGTGTTTCCACGGACGGTCCATTATTCAACAAGTGGTTTGACCTGCTCAATATGTCTGCATTGGCTTTCCATCCCAACGCAAATTGTGTTGTGAGTGTTACAATCCGGGGCATTACTGTATTGGTGAACACCATCGGCTTGTTTCTGCTTCTGGCACCCAGTAACACAAAGCTGCCTGTGTGGAGCAGCTCTCGGCAGCATGGCGGGCTGAGGACAAGGCCCCCGTGTGGCCCCCGGTGGGGGGGGGGGCGTCCCGCCGCTGGGGAAAGGGGTTGGCGAGGGATCATGACATACCGCACCCGCGGCACAACTATTTCATGACACATGGAGGTAGCGCATCAGATCCTCATGATGGTTTGAAATATAAATACATGTGAGAGTGGCGTGGCTGCTGAGATGAGCGGATGTTTGACTTCAGGCTTGGACAAATGCCGAACACTACACAGCATCCCTCATGTTGTTGCCTTCACAACTTGTCTTGCCTCTCTCATCCGCCCTGCACAGATAGACTCTGACGATGTCATCACGCGAGATGAGCAGATCTACGTTCTGATTGGTGCTCACGCAAAGTGTGAGAGGAGCATCAAGGCGCATATGTCCTTGGTTAAAGGTTTGTGTGCAGCTTTTAAAAAAGTTGTTACCCTGTCAAAAGGTCACAGCGTGTGCAGGTCTTTAAAAGAAATCTGCAAGAAAAATGATAGCTAGCCCCCAAACGTGTACAATCATTTTTAACATTTTATATATTTATTTTACATCCATCTATAAAATCCCATTTAAGCTTTCACTGAGGGTAAAACGTTAATATTGGGAATATGTTCATTTTGCTGTCTGGGTAAAGGTTGTTTCTCCTTTAAATGTAAAAAATCTCCCCTTATAAAAAGTACTATCGAGCACATCCACTGTAAACACAAAGTCAGTGAGTGCATGTCCAACAAATGCGTAATCAGATACCGTATTTATCATATTATTTAGTTATTTTAGGATCAGATACAACACCCATGCAATATCCTGCTGAGCATTATCTCTGTGATTACGATTTAAGTGCAGACAACAGCGGCCCATTTTTCACTCACATGATGACGTAGAAGCTGATAATAAATTACCTCACTGATCAGTTTAGAGAGGAATTATGTCAGATGGAGCCTCAGTTTGAAGGCTATAATAATAATAATATGTAGAAAAATACAAGATGGCAAGTGTTACATTGAAACCCATAAACCTGTGATGTAGGTTGTATTTTTTAAACATAATTACTTTACTAGTCTTAATGTTAGTGGGGTGGATATTTTCACTCAATGTGAATGCAATTTTGAAAAACCGTACCATTCACATGATATGCTACGTTACACGTTGCACTACCTGCTCCGTTGGCTCAACATTCAGTGATTAGCAGAAGTACACTCTGGTGAATTTTCTTTACATAAGTAAACATATGAATTTTCAACTAACAGCTGTTTGCCCTTACGTGTGCAGAAGGTGACTGCGTCCCCGAGTGGGACGGGATCATCTGCTGGCCGCGGAGCCGAGCGGGTCAGCTGGTGTCAGTTCTGTGTCCACAGTACATCTACGACTTCAACCACAGAGGTGGGACGCCTCAAAACACACTAACGAGCCAACTTCTTCCTCAGTCATATTCAGGCTCCTTTGGGAGGAACCGCGAGTGTGATGCTCCTGCATCACAGACCAGATGTGCTGATGTTGTCCATGTGCCCCCCCTCCCCCTTCCCCAAAGGCCAAGCCTATCGGCAGTGTGACGCCGCGGGGAGCTGGGAGCAGGTGCCCAGTATCAACCGCACTTGGGCCAACTACAGCGAGTGCACCGCGTACCTGACCTCCAACCACCGGAGCCAGGAGGAGGTACGCACACGCGTGCGTTTGTCCTGATGTGAATGTTGGCACGGATGTGCAGAATGAAGCCGTTTGGCCCCGTTGTTGGCTTTCACCATGCTGACCCCGGTGTTATTCTGGCGAGTGGCGAGGACACTCTGACCGTGTCTTGGTTTCGCTTCAGAAGGTGTTTGAGAGACTCCACCTCATGTACACCGTCGGCTACTCCATTTCTCTCGCGTCCCTTTCGGTGGCCGTCTCCATCCTCGGCTACTTCAAGTGAGGAACTAAAACACGGACCACAACTCCGCCCTCCAAAGCGTTGTTGTGACTTATCTCGTCTTCCGGGTTACTGAAATAAATTGTCCACAATCTTTCAGGCGCCTTCACTGCACGCGTAATTACATCCACATTCACCTCTTCGCCTCCTTCATCTGCCGAGCAGTCAGCATCTTTGTGAAGGACGCCGTGCTCCACTCCATGTCTGAAGACAGGGACGACGAGACTGGTTTCGCCGCACAGAAGTCCCACACGGTAAACGTGATGGTTTTACATCCACTGTTTCAGCGGCTTCCGGCCTGTTTAAACGTTCCCTTCGCGTTCCGCTCTGTGTCCTCAGGCCGGCTGTAAAGTCGCTGTGACTCTCTTCCTCTATTTCCTGGCGACCAATCACTACTGGATCCTGGTGGAGGGGTTGTACCTACACAGCCTCATCTTCATGGCCTTCCTCTCTGACAAGAGCTACCTGTGGGCCCTGACCATCATCGGTTGGGGTAAGCTGGTCGGGTGGGATTATCTGTGGTCACAAGTAGAGCTGACAACGATTTAAAAATGTGTTTTTTCTTCTCTCCGCTCGTCTCAGGTGCTCCGTCTGTGTTCGTGTCCATCTGGGTCAGTGCTCGAGCGTCGCTGGCAGACACACAGTGAGTCATGTGGTGCATTTATTTGTCTAATATCCGCGTCACTCGGGCATCACAAAAGCTCGCTTTAACTCTTCTGTCTCCTCTTTCAGATGTTGGGACATCAGTGCAGGAAACCTGAAGTGGATCTATCAAGTTCCAATCCTGGCAGCCATTGTTGTAAGGAAATATTTACATGTTCAAGACATGAACGGGTATCTGACATTATTTAACCGTGGTCCCATTAAACGCCTCCCCAGGTGAATTTCCTCCTCTTCCTCAACATAATACGTGTTCTGGCCTCCAAACTGTGGGAAACTAACACTGGTAAATTGGATCCTCGGAAGCAATACCGGTAAAGTTTTTCCTTGAGGATCTCATAAAATGATGCCACCGTCCTCGGACATGAGTTTCACATCAAAGTTAATCTGCAGGAAGCTGCTCAAGTCCACACTGGTCCTCATGCCCTTGTTTGGGGTCCACTACATGGTGTTCATGGCTCTGCCCTACACGGAGGTCACCGGGCTGCTGTGGCAGGTGCAGATGCATTATGAGATGTTCTTCAATTCCTCCCAGGTAAGAAAGAACATTTATGAACTTAAACTGGCACTTCTGACTTTTCTGATGATTTAAAAAAAATATATTTGAAACAAATACCAATGTGAAATCGGAATTGTTTATAAACTCAAAGCAATGGTTGAACATTTCAGGGAAATACACCTGTTCGCTTTCTTTTGTTTGATTTAACTGTAATATATTTGTTGGATGTGAAGCTACAGCCAGCAGCTGCTTAGCTTAGCATTTAGTCCTTTGAGTCCTTTTAAGAATTATTTTCCTCCACAGATGATATGATATGTTACTTAGGAAAGTTCTCAGTAAAGAGTCACCCTATGCTAAGCTAAGCTAAGCTACATGTCTGCTAGCTGCAGCTTCATATTTAGCACATAACCTTTACAGTGGTATTGATCTTCTTCTAGAAAGAAAGCAGGCGTATTATTGCCGTCTTTACTTTGTCGGTTTCAAATGCAAAACGAAATTGCGGCCAACTTCTAATCTCTCAATTTCCTTTTCTTCAGGGTTTTTTTGTGGCATTTATCTACTGTTTCTGCAACGGAGAGGTAACAAATCCCTTATTCATAAATCCATCCATCCCTTATTCACAAAGAGTGATCCGCTGATCGGCCAAAAACGAAACACAACTTCCCGCCTGACTCCCTCTTCTCGTTCTCAGGTGCAGGCAGAGGTGAAGAAGGCGTGGCTGAGACGCAGCCTCACGCTGGACATCCGACAGAAGGCCAGGATGACCAGCAGCGCGGGCAGCTGTTACTACGGCATGATGTCCCACACCGCCACCCACAGCGTCAGCCTGTCCGCCGCCAATCCCAGGGCCCTTTCCCTCGCCGGGGCCGCAGCCCGAGCGCCAGGGGTCAGGCCGCCGCGCCACAGCCCTCTCAACCCGCAATTCGGCCTGCCCGGGTATGTGCCCGGCGGGGCTGAGGCCTCCGGCCCCAAACAGGAGCCAGGTGACGGAGAACCAGCGGCGACGGAGTCTGGGGTTGTTGCCAGGCGTGCCGGAGCCGGTGGAGGAAACCCCGATGCCAAAAGTCACGGAGCTCCGCCAGCTCCAACCGCTGGAGAGGAAGTTCAAGGAAGCGGCCTTTCCCTGAAGGAGCTGGAGACCGCCTTGTGATCGTTTTGTATACGCATAAATGGCGCGGTGGCCTGGGATGAACTGCTCATCTTCACCCAGGCTCTATTTGGATTTCAGTCAGGGGAGACTTCACATGCCCGCCCGGATCAGAACTGTGACTATTATTCAGCGATTAGACTTCGCCGTCCCGACAGATTTACGAGGGGGGGAAGGAGCCAGAAAAAAATGTGCTAAAACCGGCCCGTCAGCGGGATTGAAATGAATGGACACAAACAAAGAAGAGACTAGATTTAATATTTGTGGCAAGATCTTGTTGTTTTGTCAACATGTTACTGATGGATTTCTTGTAGATCTATTTAAATGTGCATAATATAAACATACATGTTTATGTGCTTTCATTTAATGTGTAACTCCTGTGAACAGCTGGATAATCTGTGGGTTTGATCCTTTCCAGCAGTCAGACAGCCTGTCTAGACAGGCGAGGTCTTTCAACACCTTTCTTGTTGTCCATCTTGCATGACGTCGCCCCCGGAGGCCGAACCCCCAACCCCTTCCTCCGTTTAACCTCTGACCCCCCCGAAAGCCGTCGCAACACCGTCCGGAATTTCACACGCCGCCCTCAGGCTTCTTCTCCGAGCCGGAGGCACCTCCGCCGCTTGTAGACCTCGTGTGTGAGTGACAAACCCGCAGCGCAAAACACCGGTATTTACAACATGAACAGGCCCGTAAATATCTGTTCAGGTGTCTTGAATTAGGGAGGCATGCAAAGTGAAAGATGTGTTAATGTTTTGCATGTAGGCCTCGTTTGCTCTAATAAAGGGAATTCAATCAAAGCGATCTGAATTCGATTGAATCACTGCTTCTTTGATGTCAGAAAAACGGTGTAAACTCAGGGCAAAACCTTCGTCGTGTTTAAAACAAATTACATTAAAATACTGTTAAATTAAAAAACTGTTTAGAAAGGAGGTTCAGGTCATCTGAAGTACATAAAGTGGATTATTGTGCTACTGGAAGGGATTATATTAGTGTATCTTTGTTGTTTTCATGACCATAATGTTCTACACACGGATTTATCAAACACCAACCGTCACACAAAAGCAAAACTCACTTTATATAATAATGCATCGCAAACAAAGAACTTTGTCTCTAATCCAAAGCTCGTAAATTAAAATCTGCCAAAAAATAGGTACCTTTTTAAGAGCCAACCACACAGAAGATTCCATCACAAATGATGTTATTAAAAAACGTGCCTGTAAATCATCATACATTGAGCCATAAAACTGCAATCTGCATATTGCATCTTGTTAGTCCTAAACCTCATTTTAGATTAAAACTCATTATAACTGAGCATTTCCCGGCTCTCAACACATAATACGAGGCATTGAAAACATACGGAGGAGCGGACACGGATTCGCATGAGTGATTGCTCCTGCACAAAAAGACCAACCCCCACCCGGCAACCAGCTGTCAGGTCGGAGGAGGAGAGGTTGGGGACCAGAGGGTCACCATTTGATGCCCCTCCAATCGGTTCCGTTGGCTCGGGATCCTCGGCATCCTCCTCTGGTGGCAGGAGAAGGCAAAAGCAGGGGAGGGGGGGAGAGTGAACCGGAAATGACAGAAGGTGGAAAGGACCCGACTTGATGGCGATGGTGGTGCAGCTGGAAGTGATGATGTCACCGTCATTGAACTTTAAAACCATTTATAGAATGGCTCAATGAACAAGAACTTTAACTCATTTTCAACGTATAATCACAAGTGCAAAATGTTCTTTGACGAGAAAGTATAAATTAGAATGTATTGAAATGTGTAATGAAATAAGAAATAGAGAAAGACCCACACAGAATTATGTGCAGCCTTTTTCCAACTCTTTTTGGAAGCTGTTTAAAAAAACACCATTTAATTAAACTGAAATATTTAGTGTGACATATTTGACATTTTTTCTAAATTGTATGTTGACCTTAAATTTTCTGTTGATTTGAATAATAATATAAAAAGATGATACATACAAGACGTGTTTGATACTTGATAAATTCTTAGCACTTGGTTGTCAGACTATTGGTCAGTTTAATGTATTGGACATTTATTCATTGAATCGCGTTGCAAATGTGTTTTATTTGCAGAATATTGCAGCCCGACGTCCCGAGTGAAAATGCCAACGCGGTGTTTTATAGCAGGAAACTACACGCGTCATTTACAACACTGAGGTGATTCGTCATGTTCGTGCTGGCAGCTGCCCCGCTGACGTCATGGTGAAGTAGGCGGAGAGAGAAAGCACGAGGGAGTGTGAGCCTGTCCTCTGTTTTTAAGACTAATAACAATAAGACATACTGATAATAACAGTGCATCTGATGTCCCGAGCTGTGTCTCCGCCGCCGTGAGAGGACGCGCCGGCTGTCAGCGGCTCTGCTGCGGGGCGACATCGTCTCTGGGCGGCCGGGGAGTGAATGAGGAGGACCGCTGGCCGACAGGGAGCGGTCCTCTCATCCCAGGGCTGCCTCCTCCTCCCGGATGGAGACCGGCTGCGTGCAGGCAGCGATGGCCGCGGGAGAAGCCTGTAGGAAAGGCTCGCTTCGGAACGTGGCGGTGGAGCGCAAGAACCTCATCGCGGTCTGCAGGTCAGTGGATTACAAACGTTTTCATCGTGGATTTATTAGCATGTATTATCTGTGAGTGACGTTAGACGCGCAGGCTTTGGCTCTGATTGTGTTTTTATTTATCATAGATTATACATTTCAACATGCATGCTTAGCTCATTCTCATGAGTCATTTTATATATATACACACACACACACACAATCAGGCAAGACACTGACAGGGTTCTGTGTGAGTTTAGCAGTGTCATCTTTGTCAGCGCTTATTACCCCCCCCACACCCCTCCAATGGCGTGGTTGCTATGGGGCAATGACTGGCTGGCCCCCCAGGGACGCAGGGTGGTGGGATGGGAGGGGGGTCCTGATTGGACTTTTTTGGATGAAGGTTTTAACCTACGTGCATTTGGCCAAAGCTGGGAAACGTGGACATTATTATGCACATTACAGTGTACAAACAAAGAGCCACACTATAACTGTAAATATATCTATTCCCCAACCTGCTGAAGAGACCACGTTAGCATCTCATCTAAAGCTGCTACATTTGATTTTTTTATTTTTAAAAAATGGATCAAATGATGCGTAATACAAAGAGTCTTTTAGTTCCCCACGTTGGAACACTGTGTTGGTTCACTCACTCAGTCGTGGCTCATAGTGCCGTAGGTGCAGACCGCTGTTTTCAGCTAAATAGCTCTAAAATGACTGAGCAAAATAAGGAAAGACACAGTAAGTGATACAAGCGGATATTTCCCTCTGGAGTCGACAATCAGAGCAAACAGAGGAGCTAATTGGACTTACATTTATTGCAGGTTAAAATGCACATAATAGATTCGAGTTAAATTTAGTTCTTTTTCAAAACAAAGTCACTGTTGAACTTGGTAGTAAAATATAAATGCGGATACGTGTGGACTCCGGTCACATCTCCAGTCACACATTGTGTTGTCGTACACAGTCGACCCACGAGGCTGCACCTCTGTCCTCAGCTGGGCTCAATGAGACATTGTTGTGTCGGGAACAATGGCGAGTGGAATCACTTGGCCACCATTTGTATCTGAGGGAGTGTATGTGTACTGCAGAGGTCACGTCGCCCGGGGCCGGGGTCCATAACGCCCCTTGAGGTGTGGACTCGGCTCACATGACCCAAGTGCACTTTTTTTATTCACCTTATTTTTTTTTTTACAAATGACTCTTTTGGTAAAATGCTACAAAAAGAGTTCTTAAAGTGCTGAAACATTCAAAACTCAAAGTTATAAAACAAGGGCTTGGTGCCCATTCTGCCCTAAAGAATTTCTCCTCATCACTGCACAAATGGCATTTGGCAGCAAATGGACCTTTTGAATTATTTAGTTTAAGGGAAGATATTAAGTGGAGTGGTGAATTCAGCAGAAGGATAATGTTGCCTTAAATAAACAGAATGCTGTTTATATGTTGTGGCAGGAGGTCACCCTTTAAATATGCAGGGACATCGTTACACTAGAATCCATTAGTCATTTCTAATATTTAGCTATGCTAGCTATCTAGGGATGCCACTTTGGATCAAAATCAAATATTCTAACAACTATGGATCCCCATCAGTGTGTTGTATTATATTATACGTATATAATATAAATAAATGCTGCCCAACGTTACATTTTATCCACTTCATTTTCATTCATTTAATTTCATTAACTTTCCAAAATATTTTCCCTCCTGACGAGCATTATTTATCCTGGTATATTTGGCTAAATATAAAAGTGCATATGAGCAGAAATCCTTAAAAGGTCTTAAATCAGACCAGAGTCATAAGTTCAAGCTTCCACTGAGATGTCGGCGCTTCCTGGAAACGTTTCATGAACGGCTTCTTCGCAGTAAATCGGTGAGTCATCCGGATGTGGATGATACTCTGCAGAAATCCATTTCAACAAACAAACAAACGGGATAAACACATTGCGTTTTTATTTTCATTGTTTCACTTTGTTCATCGTGTCATTTCCTTTCTCCTAGTAGAGATTCCAAAAAGCCAAACTACAGTTACACGCTCCCTCTGTTTTAAAAGGGTTCCTTCTCTCTTCTCTAGGTTTTCGGTGAAGACGCTGTTGGAGAAATACACAGCCGAACCGATAGATGATTCCTCCGAGGAGTTCATCAATTTCGCGGCCATCCTGGAGCACATCCTCAGCCACCGACTCAAAGGCAATGAGCCTGCATGGGATTCGTCCTGCACTGACTGCATGTTAAAGAAGAAACCACACGTTGCATATGTTGTTAACACATCGGCATGACACCGTTTAACAATATGCATGTGTGCGCTGTTCTCTTAAGCGTCCGGCAGCTGGTTCGACGGTCAGAGGAGTTACTGGGACTACGTCCGCCTGGCCTGCGCTAAAGTCCCCAACAGCTGCATCGGCAGCATCGAGAGCATGGAGAACATCAGCACCTCCCGAGCCAAGGCGAGTTGCACGACCATGAGAGGAGGCGCACACCTGTTTCAGTTTGTAGCGGTGGTAGTGGGGCTCCGAAGAACGCGGTAGCTAAAATGGTTCATTTTGCGATCCATTCAGGGGCGAGCCTGGATCAGAGTCGCCCTGATGGAGAAGAGGCTGTCTGAATACATGGCAACTGCACTGAGGGACAGCAGAACAACCAGGTCGGAGGCCGCACACCCAACTTAGCTACGCCGCCGCATCCGTAACATGAACCACCTTCTCCCATGCTGGTGTTTGACTCCTCTAGGAGGTTCTATGCAGAGGGAGCCATCGTGTTGAGAGAGGAAGCCACGGTCCTCACGGGGATGCTCATCGGTCTCGGAGCCATAGATTTCAGGTGAGGGGACGTTTTCCGCATCACACAGATTGATTTAGACAGGAACGCGTCTTTTTTTTTTAAACTTTTGTCGGTGTGGCTCTGCCTCCATAGTTTCTGTCTGAAAGGGGAGGCCTTGGATGGGAAATCCTCCGCAGTGATTGACTACACGCCGTACTTGAAGTTCACACAAAGGTACGTTCAATGACAGAAAAAGATTTGTCACAATTGACTTAATAGGATTAATCCTCATCATTTAAATACTTGTGATACGGAGGAGTCGAATGAACAATGTGCGCCCGTTGCAGCTATGATTACCTGAGCGATGACGACGACCGGCAGAGCGTTGAAAGCAGCACGAGCGACGACAGCGTCCCCGATCACCCGTACGTCCCCCTGGTCCCCGACGAGGAGAGCTGGAGCACAAAGTGCCGCAAGATGGAGCAGAGGTTCAAGATCGTCAACGCTCAAAAGGTGCGGCCATGTTTTTGTGTTAAATACACAGCACCGTGTTGCTGTGTAGTTAGTGTTATATCCTTATATCCCTTTTTTCTATTTACCGCACACGTTTGGGGAAGAGTGGGCAGGCCCCAAAATAGTTTATATTACACGCTGAGCACCTCAGATGGACAATCTATAAAAAGGGTGGATATTTCCTTTCACTTGGTGCGGATGTGCGTTGTCAGGGTTACCTGGAGGAGCTGGTGCGCCTGCGTGAGTCCCAGCTGAAGAACACAGAAACAGAGAACAAGAGGCTGAAGGCCCGACTGGAGGAGCTGCAGAGCCACAGCACACAGGAGAAGAAGGACCTGGAGGCCGTGGTCCTGGAGCTTCAGGAGCAGATGTGAGTGGTTTCAGGCCGCGGATCCACCCTTAAAAACCACCGGACACGCAATAGACTTTGTCATTGGTTTAGTCGAAGGTTTCCACATTGGCTCAGTAATGTATCGCAGCCTCTTGTTCGGCAGGACCAGCTTGATTCCATGTGACTCCAACCACCTGGCCAAAAACCTTTCAATCCCTCTGGTCAACCAGTGGCCGACGCTGCAGCCGCACAAAAGCCAAGACGACGTCAAGCTGTTCCGCAGGTTTGAATTCAGCGACCAACTCTGAAGATGTGATACGTACCAGTACTCACCTTAATTTGCCCTTCTGTCGACCTGTAGGAGGAGCTTCCCGAGCAGCGAGCTGCTGTCAGTAGACATCAGCCTGGACTCCGACTCCCAGAGAACTGAGGGGAAACAGAATGGAGGAGCCTGGTGCACAGGTGACATTTTGCACAACAGGTTCTCATGAGATAGTAAGTAAACCCGCGCACACACATACGGATTCACACACTTGATTTGTCCCACCCTTTGTATGTCCGTCCCTACCCCTTCAGACAAGGACTACACCCCCTCCATGATGGGCCTCTGTGGGTCCCTGGCCTCCCTCCAGAGCAGTAAGTCTCTGGCCAGCCTCAAGTCCAGCGAGTGCCTGGTTAACATCAGCACAGACAACAGTCCCGCCCCGTCTCCCTGCTGGGGGGCGCCAAAGACTCACTGCCGACCACGTAACTGACACTTCAACACGGATACTGCAAGAATACTTTTGTGAGTCCCTGTACCTTTCTGCTGGCGCTGTCTTAACCTTAAACCTTTTAAGAATTTGTAAGAAAAAAAAGAGTAGCTTCGCCGTCTGGGATTGTCCAGCGAAGAGGAAGAGCTGCTGCGTTTGCCCGACGGCCTCCTGCAGTTTCACCGCGTTCAATTGTCTTGACACGATTAAGTCTCCTGGAATGCAAACAAACTCTCTCACGTCTTGATGCTTAAGTCATATCTGCACCGGTCACATTGATCAGAGCCCGACTGGCGTTGTCCTGTGTGTACCTGCCCGTTTGTCTGCGTCCGATCCGTCTGTCGATGTATCTCGTTCTGCCTCTTGCATAATAACAGCAGCGCAGGCTGAAGGAGCCCTTATTATTTCTTAGGGAACCAAAACAATGGTTTGCCATATTATATTACAATATTAACAGAGAAATTTAAAAAAAGAGAGGCTTGTAGTGTGCTGAGTTAAAATGGCCAGAGGGACTTATGATTAAACCTATTTGGAATTAACAGAAGCAGCTTTGTGTGGAATTAGAATAAATTAAAGGCTGTTTTCAATCATGCAGTAGCTTAGATTTTGGATCTGACACTAAAGACCTGTCAGGCTGCAAAGGTTTGCAGAGTCTTGTGGACATTAGAATTAGACTTAATATCTATTGCATACAAATGCAAAGTGCATTATGACTATGCAGAATGAATGTTTTCATTGTCTTTTACAACAAACCTGGCATTATGAAGTAGTGTTGTTGAGAGAGAAATAGTGAATGTGCAACAAGTATTTGTCATTTTTCATTTTTGACCATTGTTTTGTGTGTTCTTTTTGTATTTGAATAAAACTCTTGATATACTTACTTGTACCATTCACCTCCATGTAAATTGCAGTCCTGTGTATTGCTGTTGAAAGTTGGGATGTATTGTATTATTTCAAACTGCAATAAAACTGCCTTTTTTTTAAGCATTAGATGTTGGAATGCAATGGATGTCCAAGTGTGGCTGGAGATTCGCGACAGAGAACTCTATGTAATATGTTATACATAAAATGTTTTATGTCTATGTAACAGTGTGTACAGATATTAATGGTTCCCAGACAACTTATCTGACTTTAATTATCTCAGGAACAACACCGTTAGGTGTTATGCTTCCAGCCTGACTAATAATAACTCCACCAGTCTCAGCTGCACTTTGTTTTTAGTGTTGATTAGTACATTTGTACATGCTATCTAATAAGATGAACATGAACATTTAACGTTAGATCCACAGTGGCATTGTCTTTGTGTATTAGCATGATGGGGTTAGCATGTAGCTCATGAAGCTGGAGACTCTCAATCCAGTCTGTTTAAATCCTCGCATGTGTGAATTACAGCGTCAATTCAGCACAAACCCAATCAGACACAAATATCAGGCAAAATCCAATCAGCTGGAAAGGAATAGCTGACATCAAATCAACTGAACTTACTGTATGACCAACAGGCCGGAAACACGCTCTCTCCCCTCTGCAGAGGTCACTTGTTGTTTCTTTACCCGCCCCTATAGCTCCTTTAGCTTTGTGAAGCCTGACATTGTCCCGCCGTCTGAAATATCTCATGTGAGGTCATAGGTTAGGATCATTCATTCATTAAGACGGACAAATACACAGAGCTGAACAAACAGCATCTCAAGGTCCTTTAGTAAACGCTGGAAATGCATTATGCAGGAGAGACATTCCAGATCGACATACTGTCCAATTAGCTGCCTGGCTGTAAAATGAATGGATTCCGGAGGGTGGGGGAAAGTTGGTTTTAGTTAACCGGCTTTGTCTTTGGCTGTTTTGGTAAAGTGACATGAATTGTTGGGGGCAATCGCACAAGATAGATGAGCAGGCTGCTCGACACACGGTGCAGCACTTCACCCCTCCGTGATGAAGCAAATTCACTCCCAATATGGTGCGCCAGATGCAGGAGTGTGTTATCTGAGCGAGGGCCGGGGTCTCGCCTACATTAGAGCACGTTTTGGGCCAGTTTCATGCGGGTGGGGGGACAATGGGAGTTTTTGTGCTGGTCTAGGATCTGCGCCCAAAAGCTAATAGCAGGTTATCTCTACACCCTTCTCTTGCCCGACCATTGGCACTCCCTTTTAGAAAGTGTCTGGACATTTATCTCCCATCACGCAGACTCAGGCGCACACACCACCCAAAACCACTTCACACACAGTCCACCCAGATGGTGAACACACGCCCATCTGAGAGGATTTAATAGGCCTCACGATGGTGTGATGAAATATTTTGTGGATTACAGTTTTAAAATATATCATACCATTTACAACAGGTCATATATACTTAAATATACTATCTTATGTTTTAGATTATTGATCATATTTTCTGAATTGTGTCCTATGGTCTCCATTGATTCATGTGATTATATTATGTGATATAAACAATATATATTATTTAGAAAAACCTTGTTATTTGCCTTTAAGAATGGATAGATAGATTTATTGATAGTTATTCACTGAGAACTTACCAAATTACAAAATGCACAATAGATACGAAGGAAATGCAACACAATTAACTTAACTGAATAACCAATATTACAGAATATTTGGATGTGAAAAACATTACAGATAACAAAAAGTCTGCATTCATTTTTCTCCAGCATTAAAAGTAAGACTGAATTGATGTGTCCTTCGTGTTCTCTGGGACGGAAATTAACTGTAAAAGTAATATTTTTTCAAGATAGCAATGGTTTGGTGTAACAGAGTGTAAAAATACTCTGTTACACCAAAATATACTTAAAGTAACAAAAGTATGCATTATTCATAATGAAACAATCCTCCATTTCAAAATAGTCAGATTATACGGACATATTTTATCATTTGTAGGAGAAAAACACATGGCTATTTAAATGCTTTGACTAAAATAGTCAAAGCATTTAACTAACTAACAGAAAAACTTGTCCATTCATGTCCTCTAACACAACTAACAGCTGTAACTCTCCATGTACGGCCTTCAAAAGTTTTTTATCTAATACTACAAATTAACCAGTTAAGAGATACGAATCGTGGGCGACGACGGCAGCTTCGTTGTCCAAAGGTTTGACCGATTGATGGTAAATTAACCAATGGGATTAAAGTGCGGTGCTCACTCGACCAACCAAAAGTGAGACACCGCGTCTGACCCCGCCCCCCCCCTCCACACACATAATTAAACCCACGCCAGCGTGCTGGTGGAGGTGTTGAGCAGAGGCAGCGTAGCGGGGAAGTAAGTGCGCGCGTCCCGCGAGCACTCGGGGCCGTTAATTAACAATCTCCTGCCCGAGAAAAACAAAATGCAGAACACCTCCAGACGGCCCCAGAAGACGTAGGAGTTGACGTGAAGGTGACTTTTTTTTGCAAACTGGAGTCGCTTCCTCGTTCGAGGGAGGGAGGGAGAGCGAGAGAGAGAGGGGAGGAGAGGAGGGGGGTATCTCAACATCCTCACAAAGAAACTTTTTCTTGCTAGGCTGCTAACGAGCCGCGGGGGGAACGTTGGCACGCCGTTCGCGGAGCTCTCCTCCCCCGTCGAGCTCAACGCGTCCCCGGCGCTTCGTGTCCACTCGCGGATGAGTGTCCGCGAGACCAAAGCCCGACTTTTGTAACGGGTTTTTCTTCTTCTTCTTCCCAGAAGCCACCATCGCCAGTGGAGGAAGGGTTACAGCTGACCCGCCGGTGTTTGGACCAGAGGAGCCCCGGAACCTCCACCGGGCTGCACATCCGCTGCTCTGCTCGCACAGACACACACACGCACACACACACACACACACACACACACACACACACACACACAGACAGACAGAAGTTGGTCCCGGAGATGTTTTCCAGTGAGATGTCTGGTCGGATCGGAGTCGGGCAGATCCGACCAGCTGCTTCGGGTCCACAGCCCCTGAAGGCGACTGTCCCCTATCAGCTGACCGGCAGGTCCCGACCGAACCGGAGGGATGGGAAGTCCGGTAAGCGCTGCACACCTGTCACACCTGGATCACGTAGTTATGAGGAGGGCATAGCTATGTATGGTATCAAATGGCCATGATGGAAAAATGCACTTGTGACCTAGTTAGAATATATGATTTCACCAGCAACTGGTTTACAAACTAGCCAACTGGACAAATCTAGCATCAATCACGCGATCGATAATGTCAACAAGAGAGTCCCTGCAGGCCCCTGTCTGTCTGTCCAAGTGGTAATCGTTGGAACCCTGGGACTAAACAATGAAATGCACTTAATATTAAAGTGTGACATGATTATGAAGAAATATAATAACACCTTTTAATTGCACAGCGCTTTTAGTGGGTTCCCAAAGAAATTTCTTGATAGTTTTTTTTTCTTTTTTTCTATTTGATCTATGAAATTTCAGAGCCCAACGGGACACGACAAGCATTTCATAAAAATAAAATCTTTACAAGGAAATCTGAGTAGTTTCATTATAGAAATTACTTGATTATAACAGAACTTTGTCAATCTTGTAGCAATTTATCATTTCAGCTTCAGATGTGGTCAGTGGTGACAAAGTATATTAAAATTACACCTTTTGACCAAATTCCATCTTTTTTTATGTTAGAGTTGTTCACTTCGGCTCGTTTTAAAATCAATATAATTCGTTTGCAGTATGTAGGTGCAATACTCATGATGTATTTACTCCAACAATGGAACATGAAGCTACAACACACTTCCCTACTTTCAAGCTTAAGACTTATCCCGAATAAGTTAACGTGCATCTTGAATTAAAAAGCCAATTCCCTCTGACAGCTGGAAAGCCCAAAGCGCAGCAGCTGAGCTGTGGCATGAGGCGGACCATGTCTCTCGATGCCATCATCGGGCCGTACCTGCAGGGACATTGGCCCAAAGAACCAGAGGGCCAGCGCTGCCCGTCTCGCAAGGACAAGTCTACCCAGGTCGGCTGCAGATGAACAATGTGTGATCATAATAATGTTGAAATGACTGGAATGCACAGCCCGCCCCGCAGACGCTTTCCACGTTCTGGGAGTTTTGTCGTTTCAAGCCGCTAATGACCTCGGGGAGGGTCGGTGTGTCGTGGTGGAGCGGCACGTCGTTTCGAGATGAGGAGGAAGTCGAGGAAGGGGAGGAGAGCCGCAGGCGTGAGAACGTGCCCCGAAGTCAGCTGATGAGCTCGTTTCGGCTGCACAGCCGTCCTCTCCGCTCTGTGCAGGCACTCGCCACTGCTCCTCTGTTGCCCACATCCTCCTCCCCCCCTCCTCCCCTCTCTCTTTGTTTTTCAGTCACTCCTGCTCATTCGCACGTCGACTTGTGCAAAGAGAGAGTCTGTGGGTGTGGAGGGTGTGATGTGGCTGCACAGACGAGCTTTGCCAAGTGTGCAACTTTAGTGAAAGATGTGTGAAAGTGTGAAATCCTGAGATGTTACGTGACTCAAACGCAACCGTTTCAGACTATATTTTCAACACCAGGCAGCTTAAGGCAAAAACTTAATGTGAACGCTTCTCTAATCGTCACGTGGGAACCCATTTGAAAGGTTTTAAGTTCTTATGGTCGCCATCTTCCCCTCCCCAGACCCCGGACTCGTGGTGCGATAAATCCCCGAGCAGGAGAGGGGGCAGCAGCCACAAGCGGTCGGCATCATGGGGCAGCGCCGAGCATCTGCGAGAGGTGAATCTATGACATCCAGTTCTGCAAACGCGTGTTGTTGTTGTTACAAACACAGATTGAGTAATGCAGAAGGAGAGAGTGAGCGAGAGAAGGTTCTTTAAAAAAAGAAACGCCTGACTCAAACACTTTGATGCGTTGGGCAACAGGAGACCAAATGATATCATCGACCATGAAACTTCCCTTTTTTTTCTTTTCTTTTTTTTTCCAACGAACGAAAAGACTCACTGTCTTTTCTTTTTAAACTGACTCGCTTCAAATGATCGGTTGATCACAATAAAAAAAAAAAAAAAAAAAAAGGACGAGACCCTTGTGGTAAAGCGCGTGACATTTGCCAGTTTAAAGGCCATAACCTACAATAACCTCTGTTCGTTGCAGATCGCGAAGCTCAAACAACAGCTGCAGCAGCGCAGCAAACCCGCAGCCTCAGGAGGGCATGACAAAGGCCGCCAGCGGGGATATCCTCAGGGGAGCTGTAGCCTGGGAACTAACCAGGTACCTTAGCAGCGTCTGCACACACAAACACACGGCGGCTCTGCCAAGCGCGGACCCGCAGGTGTGTGCACGCTCTTTACAAAGCGGGCAACGTTGACAACGATTTTTTCCTTATCTGCGCGGCCTGGTCCGTCCTCAGACGAGTACCACTCATCATCTTTGTCATTGTGCACCAAACGGTGCGGCTCGTCACAGGAAGTGAACGAAACAAGAAAAATTCTGTTTCCCCACAGACGAAACAGGAAGACCACCCCAACGCATCACCGCGTTTCTGCTATTTCCGCAGCAAAATTTGTTGTTCTGCTTTTCAGCCCAGCTGGTCTTTTGAGTGGTCCACCTGCGTGTTTGGGGACGCGAGGAACCAATTAGGGAGATTGCAAACCTGATTTTGTGCATGTGCACCAGCACCCATTTATGTCCTCACAATACGTGGTGAACTCGTGAAGAATGTGCTCTGGGAGCTGCATGTGATTGCTTCAGAGTGTGTTTGCAATGATGAAGTTTATTAACATAGCCCTCCTCGTACAAGGAATGCAGCTCGACGTGCCTCACAATAAGCGCAAGACGAGCGTAAACAGACGCCTCTTATCTGCTGAGCGGCTTCGACTCCATTGAACTTGTTTTTGCGTCCTCAGACTCCGCCCATTTCCATCCCCCTGCCCCCCCTGTCGACCCTGGTCCCTCGACTGCGCTGCAGTGTGGAGGGCCTCAACCAGGAGCTGGAGGGCATGTTCATCTGCCAGCCTCTGCATCGTCCGCACAGGGTACCTGTCACCTGCCCTCCGCACATGAGGCACAAAAGATTCGGTTCCTGAAAAGGCGGCGCGCGATGCCTTCGGCGTTTGACGTCCCGCGTTGTTTCCGTCTCCTCAGCTCCTCGAGGTGCCAGACGGTCACCGGGCTCCGGTCCCCCCGCAGAGCCGCAGCAGTGGCTCTCAGAGCGACATGGCCGCCACGCGCTCTTCGTCTTCCTCCTCCTCCTCGCCCAGCTCCTCGCCCACCAACCTCTGCGGCTCCCCACCTCCCCTCCAATACGCACCGCTGGATCGGCACCGAGGTCGGCGAAGTGTAGTCATAACGTTGCAAATGGATCCTTTTTACTCATCGTTTCTATTCTATTGACTCGTCTTGTTTCCTCCCCCCCGCTGTTAACCAGACGGTGCCGAGGTGGTCCTCCCGTCTCCGTTCTCCTCCCAGACTGAGGCAGACGTCTCTCTGCTGATGTTGTCGTCCCCGGGGCCCAACAACAGTTGCTGCTTCCAGAGAGAGCCGCCGGAGGGCTGCGAAAAGATCCGAGTCTGGGAGGAAACTAGGTACGTTTTGTTTACCGAAACTGAACCGGCAGACTTGACTCACGTTTCCTCTGTAGTTGACGCTGACTTGAAGGAGCCCTCAAGGGCACTCCACCATTTTAGCATTGCGTTACTGTCAGATTTTCTACATATTCTTCACCCTGGCTTAGACTTGGTGACAACAATGCAACTTCAGTTGGAGCTCTTTAGGGTGTTCTGCTCATAATCTGTGTGTTTCTAATTCCACACCCCCAGTTTTTTTTGTTATCTTGTTTTCCAACTTCAAAACCCTGTCATATGACATGGGTGGGGTCCCCCTGAACTAACCCGTTACCAGCTGTTTTTATCTTTTAAAAAAAAAAATGTTTTCCATACCGCCACTCTAAAAGACGTGTTGTAACGAAGGGCTGTTTGTGCAATAATTTGCCTCAGTCGCTTCATTCCAGTAGTTAAATGTCCAATGAGGCGGTGTGTGTGTGTGGGGGGGGCCCTCTGGTGGTGATCCTCAAACATTTGCCCTAGATTTATACTATATCCAGACATGACCCGCCATTTAATCAGTGTGCTCGAGCCAACGATGCGTCCCGTGTCCTCTCGTCCCGCAGCTCGCCACGTCAACACAAGCCGGCCCTCGTCTCCTCCTGCCCGGACCCCAACAAGGTAAACTTCACCCCCCACGGGGGCTCGGCCTTCTGCCCAGTCAGCCTCCTCAAGCCCCTGCTGCCCTCCGTGGAGCTGTTGCTCCGCAGCCTGGCCGTGTCTCCGACGGGCAGCTGCTCGGTCCAGGAGACGAGCTGTTGCCAGGCGACGTCGTCCGGCAACCGGGCGGCTCCCGCAGATCCTCCCTCCGGCGCCGTCGCTGTGATGGCAGAGAGCTCCGGGCAGGGCCTCGCCTTCTGATTATTGGTGATGTTGGTTTATTTTAGGAAAGGATCATTCCTCTTCTATAATGATTTAAAAAAAAAATAATCTTATTTAGAAAAATAATATTGGCGGTGGAAGAAAAAGAAATTCATCGTACGCTACTTGTTTTGGGTGTTTTGAAATTTTTGTCATTTCGTAATCCAAAGATTCTTATTACATGCTTCACATTCTGTTTCCCCAGAGGAGCCATAACGCACACTTATTATACTGGTTTTAAACTTTGACTGCAGTGCCTCATCTCTGTCCAACATGTCATGAGTCTGGGTCATGTAAGAAAAACTATTCCTAGATAAATGTGCTTGTTTCAAAGTAATCAAAGATGTTTATCTGCCATTCTTGTTATCTAACTTGACCTTGCACCGGTTGCTGGTGTACAAAGTGCGACAAACCAGTTGGGTATTTTTCTATTTACCTGATTAAAAAAAATAAATGAAGTTAATAAATGGTAAAAAAAAGTTTAAAAAAAGTATAAAAGACTGAATGAAATCGCCTTTTGATATTGTGGACTAAAGGAAGTCGTCCAGATGTTGGACTTGGGTAGCGTCAATATCTAAATGCTTCAGCTCATTCATTCCTGCTTTAAAAGTTGTACAAATGTTATTTTTGGTCTTGTTTACTGGAAGAAGGGAAAAAATATCTTTTGCATAAACAGATATAGCAAAAAAAACCTTCTTATTCCTTGATGTTCTAGATGTCTGCTCGACGGTATGTTTATCGTTTGGAGGTCTCGCAGCCTAGTTAACTACCTAACCAGTAGCGGTGTAGATTTTGATGTTCAAATAGTTTTATTTCTGGTAGACACGTTTGCACATATTGAACTGCTACTTTTGAGTCGCAATTCTCATTTTTTATATTCACTTTTGTACTTTTAAGAGTAGCATTGTGTATTTTCTACATTTTTTTTTTTTTTTTTCAGATACCTGCAACATAAGCTTAAAAAAAATCTTAGTTTTGTTTTGTCAGTATAATTGAGATACTGTATCGGGTGGATCTTTATGCACTTCCAGGAGAGGGTTTTAATGTGGAGAGGCTTCTTCCTTGGGTTGATTGTCTCTGACAGGTGTGTGTGTGTGTGTGTGTGTGTGTTAACTATAGTATGATTGTTTGACTTATTTTAGTATCCTGTTCAAATACTGATTGTTTGAAACGTTGAGGCTTATTTGGAAAGAAACAATGTTGTATGAATCTGTGTTGATGGGGAGGGAGGGGGCTGTTATCTCAGGTTCTGTGTTCTATCCAAATAAATATATGATTCATAATGTGTTGTCATGGTGATTTATTAAACTACGCCGATGAGATTCTGCTGTTTATTTAATTTATTTTAAATAGAAAAATAAATACCCCCCGACCCCCCCCACCCCATGGGCACGCTGCCGTCATCCAGCTGTTTCAGTTGCATTGTGGGACTGGCTTATTGAGTCGGGGGCAGGTTTGCGCAGTTCACTCCAGACCCGCGTGGAAAAGACGCACGAGCTCCTCACCGGCAGCAGGTTCTCGGTTCACCGGACGCTCCGCGCGCACCGACCGACATGTTGGGCGTCGTCGCCAAGCAGCTGAAGAGCCACCCGGCGGTGAGTCGCACGGAGCCACCGACCCGGTGACATTGAAGAAGCCGGCGAGGACGCGATGCGCGCGTCCGTTCCGCCCCGAATACCTTTACGTCGATTGTCGGCCGTGCGATCTGGCGGTAGTTCGTTATTCACCGGTTTTTTAATAGTTTTTCTCCGTTAATTTTATGGGTGTATTTGTCAGTCCAATGCGGCAGATCCATCGCGTCATCTAGCCGTGAATTTCGGGTTTAAATTGTTTTCTTTTAAATTTAACACCAAATTGCACATTGTAATCCACATTTATCGAATCTTGTATCGTCTCGTATCTAAAGCTATTCTTGTGATTCCTTCATTCTGTTGAGGCTTCCCTGTGTTTTTTCCCCGTGAGCTTCATAATACAAAATTTTATTTTGTATAAAAATGAAGCCGCCTGCTCCGATGACACGTGATCCAATTAAAAGAGGAGAAATCCTTTGCATTGACTCGTTTAACATGTGTGTGTGATAGAATCCTAACGCGGGTTCCCTTTAAACGGGATTCGTGCCCACACACACAGCCATGTCCGTAGGTCGCTGCAGCACGTACTGTACATTATCTGTATGCCCCACATACCGGACTAAAGGCCGCAGCTGTGCAGTCAGGAGTCTGAATGTCAAGGTCGACAGGGTCAAACAACGTGCTTTATGGCTGCGTCCATATTAACGCACCTGTGTGTGTGTGTGTGACCATGTTTCCAACCAGAAATCTATGGTTTATATGAGAAAATGTGGCGGAAGAAGTACTCAGAAAATATTTACAATACACCTCAGAGCTGGTAAAGACGGAGCGGTTTATTATCTATTTAAGTAATAAGTAACGATTTTATTGGTCCTCCTGTGAATCATTTGTACTACTGGAGTGAAAAAAGGTGAAACGATCGGTAATAACCTCCTGGTTTGTCCTAGTTTCACAGATTAATTGTGATTGGTACGAAACATGCATTGGGATTAGTTTCTCCTCTCCTTTGCTCACCAGCTCATCCCTCTCTTCATCTTCATCGGTGGCGGGGCGACCATGAGCGTGATGTACTTGGCTCGGCTGGCTCTGAAAAACCCTGACGTCTCGTAAGTCTCCAGTACATCTGATGAAGTGTAAACACACACACGGTGTCTTCCTCGGCACTCGGTTAGCTTTTTAGGAAACCTCAGTGTGAGTTTTCCTATTTTCTTTTCCTCAGATGGGATCGCAAGAACAACCCTGAGCCCTGGAACAAGTTGCAGCCCGATCATCAGTACAAAGTAGGAGCTTTTATTTTGCATTAATAACTTCTTTACATTTTAAACACACGTTGGCCCATCCCATAGAGTTGTTGTCCATGTTGCCTCGGTCATACTGACGGTTTACTTCTCTTTGTGTATTTGCAGCTCTTCAAAGTTAACATGGACTACTCCAAGCTGAAGAAGGACAGGCCGGATTTCTAAGTCACTGTGACTTCACACCTCCAACTCCGACGCAGTCAGTGTGGGGAGACTTTGCACTTTTTAGAAAACCTACTCAAGACATAGAATGAAGGTTGAGTCGCGAGCTGCACTCATTAATTTAGTTAATTTCCGGTGTGGATGGAGGAAGAGATCCTTCGCTTATCAGTGACTGTATGAATAAAACAGGCAGCCACCTGTTTTTACTATAATGAAGAATTTATTTTTGACTTCATGTTAATTATTAAAACTATTGCAATCTCGCGTGTGTGTGTGTATTTGTATATTTTTGCACGGTTTAAGTACACAATATTTTTAATGACTAAATCACTCAAGAATTGTCATCCATTTGAGCCAATGAACTATTGAAATGAGAAACCCAATCATTTTCTGTCACGTGAGGTTTTACAGACTGCAGCAACTTTGATTTCATGAAATTATTATAGTTGGTTGAGGAGAGGAACCTTCTATTTTTTATTATTATTTCATCCACCTACCTGGTATTTCAGGAGAACTGACCACCTTCCAGTATTTTTTTGAAAGTGTACTGTTACAGTAACAGATGGAAACATGTGGCGAGAAAAGTAATTTGATTTTAATGTTATGTTATTTATGTTATCCATAGTCTCCAATAGGCGGCGGTAGGCCTCTGGTCGGTAGCAAACCCACATTAAAAGAGAAGAAGAAAGTCGTCTTCTCGCGAGATCTCACTTGAAAATAACGCGGGACACTGTGATCAATATATCCGTTGAATCCCAAAGTGACAACATCCATTCAAACGGAGGGTAACAAATGTTCAACTAACGTTAGATACAACTTTTAACGAACGACGCTGTCTTCGGCTTTGCGCCGTTTTTCGTAATACTCGCCTCATCACGGTAAACGGGATCGTTTACCGTTGGCAAACGTTTTTTAGCTACCACCAGCTGACCTAACGTTAGCTCTGTTTGGCTAACGTTAGCTCTGTTTCTAAATGGAGCCCACGGAGGATTTGTCTGCTCGCGTCCTGCTGCAACATATCCTGAGCACCGAGCCCCCCAGGACCCCCATCACCCGCAGGTAGCTTCCCACTAACCTTTGTTAAGTCCTACTTGGAAAGAAAGACTCATGTGGGGTTGCGATCGTTTTATATCGTTAACCTTTAACTAACAATAGCCAAGGCTGCGGTAGTAGCTAATGCTAACCATGTCAGATCTATGGGTCAATAACTTAATTTAGTTTGAAGGTGGTCGCTAGTGCTAAAAACATGACGTTTAAGTTTGAATTAAACATAGTCACAGGTGACATATGAAAAAAAATCTCACCGATGTCCCACCTTACAAACCTGACAGCCAGTGTTACTGCAAGTTACTGAAAATAAGTATTTAGTTACAGTTACTAGTTACCTATTAAGGTAATTGAATTACTTACCAGTTACTGAGTATCACAAGTAATTAGTTACTCTGGAAAGTAACTTTTAAGTTACTTTTATGTCTGCTTTTTAAATGTAATGAATATAAATAGTACTGAACAGTCAAACACAATATATTTTGTATACCTATTTATTGTAATCAACAGGGCAACAGGCCTTCAAATCAAGCAATAGTACAAAAGTCCTTTTTAATACTTAACTTAATACAAAATAACAGTTTCAGGCATTTGCCTGAAGGCAACTGACTCGACGGTTGACAGGATGCTTCTCATCTTCAACATAGCGAGCGATCAATCTATTCAGCTCTGCCCGGTTCATCGGCTGCACTGCAGTCCGTGTAAAGTGGAGCCCTGGTTGTTTGCGTGGAGCAGCGCCTGCAGCATCCTGCGCTCTTTTGTCATGAGCGACGCGATGCTGTTTACGTGCACGTACGGCGACTATTCTGTGACACACGATTGGTGGCCACAACTATTTTGTGCTGATAGGCAGCTATTTACTTACTATTTGCCGGCCCTCCGCTTCGCGTCACAAAAGAGAGTAACGCGAGTAACAAACTCATTTCAATTTCAGTAATTGTAACTGCGTTAATTTAGTTAAAAAAATACTTCGGTACATGCTCGTTACTGCTAAAAGTAGTGGAATTACAGTAATACGTTACTTTGTAACGGTTACTCCCAACACTGCTGACAGCAAAGGTGAAGTAATCTGTCAAAAAATGTCTTTATTTTTAACGTGATTTAAAAAAAGGAGTCCTACGACTCCGTATTGAACTAATTATGACCCATCTTGTCCGAAGTACCTCCAAAGCGACTAAGAGGACCACCACCGCGACCACCAGCAGCGCCAGAAGGAGCAACAGAGATGCTCGTGGCCAAACCCCGCAGGACATCCTGAGACGAAGCCTGAGGCACAAATTACACCAGGTGAGGAAGTAGAACTTCTCTGATGATGAGGATGATCGACATGCTGTTGATTCTATTGACATTTAACACATTGACCTTCTCTCCAGAGTATAACCAGACCCGCCGTCACAAAGAGGGCCTCTGCCTCCGCCGTGCTGGGACGGATGAGCACGCCGGCCCCGACCTCGCTGCTGTTTGATGATGGAGACACACCGAGGCACATACTTAGGAACATCCTGCGGACAGGTATGTGCGTTGGCCGGTCTTTATTCCCACGTGATGTTGCGGCAGTTTGTCGTCCTTTTTTTCCGTCATGCCGTTTGTAATCTGATTCAGAGCCTGTGAAGTCTCCTGTGGTTCATGGGAAAGTAGCGTCAGAAGAGCGGCTACCATCTTCAGCAGACTCCAGCGTCACTGGGAAGCGCCCGAGGTGCGTTACAAAAATTCCATGTTGAATCTCCGCATTTGAGATGTCTGTCCAACAGTATTTTACTCAATTGCACTGATAAAGTCTTTATGAATCAACTTTTAATATAGTTGCTGGGGCATAACAACAACATGACTTGCATTTCATGGCTCAATTATATTGTGTATGTTTTAAGAGGTATAATATTTGCTTTACTTTCAGTATTGAGCTGTCTGGGTTGGATTTGCCTGATATAACTATTGGCAACGCCGCGAGTACCGCAAAAGGACTGGCCAGAAAGAGACCCCGTCGCAGTCTCAATGTAACGGCTTTTGAAAAGCGTCTTAAAGATGGAGACGGTACGATTACAGCCACTGATGGGCTTCAATAATGGGATTTATGTAGGGACGCAATCATGTTTGTCATTTCAAATGTGTGCATTAACAACAGGGTTTGGGAGTGTTGGATGCTGTCGAATAATATAAACTGGATCAATGAAGAGTTGTATTGACTAGCTGGTGGATTCTTGTGCTTACAGATGTTGAGGGGGAAAATGAATCAATAGGCGATAATTTATCCCTTTCTTCTTTGAGGTAAGGAAATTAATTCAACTGAGATTGCTGTTTACAATGTTAATACGTGAATTAATGAGTATGTGTTTTGTCTAACTTGTTTTTCAGTTCCACTTCTTTGAGTCTAAAAACTCCCTTTATGGATCCTCGGACCGAGAGGAAAGGCCTCCAGAGAAGAGTTTCTAAGCGTCGGAAGATCACAGTGGAAGAATTTGGGGCTGCTGTTCATAGACGGCAGACGGGAGGTGATTACAGTGACTTATGATACTATTCATCCTCTTTGTACCATGTGTGTAACTAGTTCTTAATGAACCATTCAAATGTACCCTCTAAAATCCCTAATGGACCGTTGGAGCAAATGGTGTCATATGTATGAAAATAATTGCTGACTGCCCCCCCCCTCCACCCCCCCATGTCTCATGTCACCCAGGAGTAACAAGCTTTGTGCAGGAGACGCATGGTCTCAATGAGACCACCCACTCCGAGGGCTTCACTTTGGGCTTAAGCAAACTCAGCGAACCTGATATCACGACTGATATCCTCCACTGCAACACGGCCCTCTACCCGCAGCCGGAATCCATGACCTCCAGCTTTTCAATCATTGCAACTCAGGACAAACCAACCGTGATGGCGTCTCAGCTTCAGAGGCTGATCGAGCAGGAGGAACTGATGGAGGCGGAGCACAGCGAGCTGGGTGGAGACAAACCAATGCATGCGTTCCCATATGAAGAGGGCGCTGAACCCGAGGAAGAGCAAGATATGGAAAGATCACAGAGTAATGTAAAGAGTGATGCAGCCGAGTCGGAGGAAGAGGAGATCAGAGTGGGAACTCAAACCGATGCGGAAGACTCTCAAACCGAAGAAGAACAAGGTGGAGTCGATTCCCAGCACGAAGAGGACGTTGACGCCAGGTCTCAATCCGAGGAAGAGGAGGCTGCTGCAGAGTTTCGAACCGACAATGAAGGTGCAGGTGACTCTCAAACCGAAGAAGTTGCCGTTGAATCTGAAATCGGAGAGGAAGTTGTAGTTGAATCTGAAATCGGAGAGGAAGTTGCAGTTGAATCTGAAATCGGAGAGGAAGTTGCAGTTGAATCTGAAATCGGAGAGGAAGTTGTAGTTGAATCTGAAATCGGAGAGGAAGTTGCAGTTGAATCTCTAACCGGAGAGGAAGTTGTAGTTGAATATCTAACCGACGATGTAGTTGAATATCTTACCGAAGAGGAAGTTATAGTTGAATATCTAACCGAAGAGGAAGGTGCAGGCGGTTCTCAAACCGAAGGTGAACTGGATGGAGTAGATTCCCAGGATGAAGAGGACGCTGCACCAGACTCTCAAAGGGAGGAAGACGATGCCGTTGACTCCCAAATCGAAGAGGAGGGTGCTGTTGATCCGCTGTCCGTAGCGGATGTTCTAGAACATCAAAGTGATCCTGCTGCAGATCCTCCACCTGAAGACGAGCGGGATGGCAGGCCGGAGGAGGAAGATGCTGAGCCTGACTTGCAGCACGTGAGTCGGAGGGCTCAGCTCTCTGAGGGTGGACCCGTCATGCCTGTCACGGTCGCAGGGGGAGATTTGGCAGACGCCACAGACGCAGGTAAGGATGTGAAGATGTATAATATATTGTCAAATACAAGATATATGTCAAGTTCTTGTTTAATGGCAAAGTATCGTCTGTTATGCATGTAGGGTGGTCCGAGTCCAGAGCCCACAGCAGCCTGGAAATGGACGGCCATGAGAGCGGTCGTATTGGGGTCACCGAGGACGCCGAGACTGGTGCTTCTTACTCGGATGCCGATGCTGATAAAGAGAACTCCTTCGGTCTCCCGGAGGTGGCTCATGATGTTGAAGATGGAAGACATCTGAGTCTTGGTTCACCTGAAGTAGATGCTCCCCAGGACTCAGCCGAGCAGGTGGAAGAGTGGGAGGACGAAGAGGACGATGAAGACAGTGATGGTCAGTCTCTTTTTATTTTTTTCATTCATAGCAATGACATTGAGAGTAAAGTGTAATGTAAGTCGCTTTGGATAAAAGCGTCTGCTAAATGACCTGTAATGTAATGTAAATTATGTTTTGCAAATCTGCAGAGATCCCCAGCAAGACTCCTGCATTCGTCAAACAGAAAATAAACTTTCTTCAGCCTGATCCTCTGGCCTCACCTCAATTTAAGAATATTCAAGCAAGGTAAGTAGACCATAGATATTCAAATGTACATGGATTCACAAAACAAAGTAGAACATTTTCTTTGAAAGGCTATAGCAACGTTAAGGTTGTTGATATCATCTTGTCTGTAGCTGACAAGCCCTTCTACGATCTGTCATTGCAGCAGCAGCAGCACAGGCGACGGTTTTCCTGCTCCTAAACCAAAGCCGGTGAGAAAGAGGGGGAAGCGGCCGGCCAAAAAGGAAACGGACCTTCCTAAGAGCTACCTGATGGCCGTCTTCAAGCACTTTGCCAAAACGAAGGTCTCTACCGATGTTTACCCTGTCTTAAAAGAAATGTAAGTAACTACCACGTTAGAGGTTTTGAGGATATCTTGGATTTCTGCCACGGGATCGCCACGCCCATCTTGCTTCGTTGTAATTCACTGTCTCTTCAACAGAATGGACAAATACTTTGACCGGCTGGTGGAGGACTTGGAGACCTATGCTGCTCATGCAAAGAGAAAAACCATAGAGGTTGAAGATGCTGAACTTCTGTTGAAGAGGTAGGCGTGTTCTCTGCTCGGGGTTGGTTCAAGAAGCTATTAACATGACATTGACATATGCTCGGTCAAAACCAAATCCAGCAATCACATAAGGGGCTTGTTAAATTACATGCAGACTTAAGACGTACAACACGTCAATGCAGATGGAAAAAGAGCAATATTTCTAGGGATGTTGAGGATTATACTGACCTCTAGATGGCAACCTTGAGCTCCGTCTTTAGTATGAAAGAAAGGGCCGTGACTGTGTGGCATCAGCAAGAAGCATATATAACGCTGCATCTGAGTGTCTGACACTTCTCATTAGTTTTCCTACACTTAACCTAACTGGTGTGTGTGTGTGTGTGTTTGCACTCTGCAGGCAGGGTTATGTGAGTGACAAGGTGCCGGTGGAAGTGCTCATTGAAAAATATCTTCGTATGGACCAGCGGAAGCTTCTGATCCCTATCGCAACCAGTGGAAATGTTGTTGTCCCTAAAAAGCGAAGATGAATGTTTATGATGTTTTCTTTTCATCTCTTCACTGCTGCATGTTAGTTACATATTCCTTTTGATTTTTACAAATATCAATTTAATATTTGCATTTGTGTAAATATGTAAATTTGTTGACAAAATAAGAGTTTGTGTCATATAATCTGTCTGTATTGCTGTACTCTGTGGAGTCAAGTGTGACTAATATATCTGTCTGTAATGCAAACTTTGGCTCATTTATCCTTTTGTGTACAGTCCTTAAAATCAATAACAGATTAGAAATAAAGTTTTTTATTTCCTTGACACTTTTTAACCACAGTATTCTGCTTTGTTGATGCATGTGAATACGTTGAAGTGAAAGTCTGAAGCTCCTAATTGTATCAAAGTAATGACAATGCCGACGGAGGTGATGTTAGTTTTGAATGCACGGTGGATAAACCGCTTGTGCAGTTAAGCCTGTCTTTGTGAGAGGTTTCTGCAGAGAATTCCTTCTAAGTGAAGTACTGTAACTGGATAAACGGTTAACCCAAACCTTTTCTTTTACACCCCACTTTGGAGGAAGAAAAATGTTCTTGCCCAACCGCAACAAAATTGAACAAATTGAAATAACATTTTGTGACCCAATCTTGCTGCACGTGCTTTTTCAAATAATGGAAATTGCAATCACTTTTAAGTGAAACCAGATTAATTCAGACAAAAAAAGAAAGATCAACTATCTTGTTAGAACAATGCAAATCAAGTTCTGTCATCAAGTTGTGCATCTTTTTTGAGATAGAAGTCCAACCTGTGAAAAACAAAACAAGTTAAATTATTTGACAAAGAGTTTTACACTGCATATCTTTTTAAAACGCCAATAATGTGCAACCAAAACCAAAATAATGCAGGTATGAGCCATCTCCTACTGCTAAATAAACATACCTGTTATAGTAAGGAACACGGCTGTAGCTCATCCCGTCTGCTGATTTAATTAAAATGAATTGCCAGTTTCTTATTTCCACTTCTTCCGAAAACTCAACGAAAAGAAAATATATTTACTGTACAAAATAATATCTAATTTCTGATGGGCCGTAAATTACTCCAAGGCAGAAAGTGGCGCTGTTTGCGAGTCTGTGGCTGTCTGCTGCTTGCACAGACAGCTAGCTCGTTAGCACAGACAGCTAGCCTGTTAGCAACCACAACAACAGAACACCCCGGACAGCTAGCGCTACAATCAAACCCAACTCAAAGGTAAGTCCGTCGACAGCTATAACAGAGAGCCGTAATACATGGATCTATCATATGAAATCACTCCGTGTAGGCTGCCATGTCGTATTTCATTGTTACAATTTCTGTGACTATTCCCTCCGACCTTTTTTTTGTTTGGCTTATGTTAGCTGCTAACGTTAGCCAACCTAGCTCAATCAGTTAGCTGACGTGCTACGTCAGATTGGGTTATTTTGAGTATTCTTATATAACTTAAAAATTCACAACTTGTTCGTCAATGTGTCGGATTTGCTTTTCTGTAGGAGCACGCGTGTGTGTGTGTGTGTGTGTGTGTGTGTGCACACTGCCAATTTAAAGTAAGACACCATTGTGGACTAATTGGCTAACGCTAACTGTATTGCTAGCAGGTTGACGTCAACTTGGTTATCTGCTACTGTCATCGCCTTCCGTCGCGCTAACTGACAAGCGTGTGTTTCAGTTCCCAATATCGTAGTGAGTTTACCGAGTAGGAAGAAAGTCTATATGGCTAAAGTTACGTTTAAATCATTAAAACTATGAAGTGTAATGTTCTTGTGGTTATCAGCTGTCAGGATTTATGTCCTGGGCCTTTACCATACTTTCTTCATTTAAGTCATTTAACGGTAATAAAACTCACTGTAAATGAGTTAATCATTTAATCTACAATGAACCGTTCTCGTGTTATGGCACGTTTTGCCCAAAACTGGTGAGCATGACAGCTTTTATTTGCAACTCGGTTAGTGGTGATCAGTGTTGTCTGGTAAACTTTGGCTTATGCGTAAATTTACGTTACGAGTTATGATCAAACTCAACAGGAACATCATGTTTAATGAAGGTTGACCCGTTTATCTTCTTATTTATTCTTATTTCATATAATTAGATTGTGTTTGGGCCAGAGTTTACAGAGGGATGAAGTTACATTGTAATGTTTTAAGAAGCTTGTTAAAACAAAGGCTTGGCTTTCTTTTAGTACTTGCAATCTCTGCTTATCTCTTTTCTACATTAGCGCCTGATGTCAGAGTCAATGTGCTGCCGTGCCGCTGGTTTAAAATGGCCTTCAATTTCCATTTCAAACGTTCTAAAATCTTAGAATTAATAACAATTACTTTGGAAAAACGCACATCTAGGTTGCGTTGTCTGCTATGATAGTATTTCAATCTTGAGTCCCAATTGGAATTCAACCCAACATATGATGATGAATCACTTGCACTTTTCTTAAATTCCAAATAGAGCCAGAGACGAATACATTGTCCCAGCACAATCTTCTACACAACAACAGCGTCTGTCACAATTACATACGAACGTAATCCCAAAAATCATCACATTAATAAGCTCAAATTGAAAAAGGCTAAAGGAGAGAAGTTCCAGTAGTTCTCAGATGCCCCTAAAACCCGCTTCTCCCAGCGACAGTGACTGGGCTGCACTGTTTTGCAGCCTGCAGGAGAATCTGCCCTTAGAGGTCAACAGGTCAAGTGTAACTGTCGGTAAGCTGTGAACCAGCTGACTTCAGACATTAGATATGCATTGAGGTCCCGTCTCTCTTTGACCTCCCGTGCGTGGCGAAGTGGGGGAGAGTTTTAGTGAGGAAGTGCAGGGAGGAGGGGAGGCCTGGGTGCTAATGCCTTTTTGCCCACTTGACCCCCCCCTCCCCCTTTCAATGTAATTGTGGGTCTGCACAAAGTCCGGGGTAAGAGCAAGGCAAGCTGATCGCTGTAGCAAAATCAATAGTTCATACCTCTCTGAGATTGCGTTTTGGGGGAAGGAGGCGCACCGCGACCGAGGACAGAATATGAAATCACCCCCACGGGGCCCCGACACGCGCCGTGCAATCGATCCCCAGTCCCTGTACCAATTATAGCTTTAAGGGTTTGTCTGTGGCTCTCTGCAGTCCTCAAAGCCCAAGGCTTGTGTTCGCCGACACTTTGACAAGGTTTGCACTTTTTGTCCCTCATCCCCTTGGAAATCGCCGCCTGGAATGCCTCCATACCTGCGGTCTTTAATTTAGGGCAGAGATAGATTTCTCTCCTTTTTTCTAGTTGGGTGAGTGAAATGTCAAGAAGAAAAAGCCCCTGTTCATGGTTGCCACCTCGTGTAGGAGTTTAATCCATACCGTTTTTTTATTAGGTGTAATTGATACATTTTATATAAATGAGCTTTTCATGAAGACTGCCATGATCGAATAGTTCAGATTGTTGCCTCGCAAGCTCCTAAATCTCCAAAAATGTTGAATTATTCTAATGATTTTGATTTTGCAGCACTTACCATAAACGCACCAGATAATGAAGGTAGTTTGGTAATATTTGTACAGATTGTACAGTGAAAGCAGACAGTCATAAGAACTGATCCCTTTCACCTTAACTGTTGGTAGCTAGTTTTGTTTTTGCAAATGTAGATGACTGATGCAGGTTTTAGGTTCTCGCCGTCCAGTTTGTTCAGCTCTCGTCTCTGTGTTCTGCGGGTTTGTCTCCTATTTCTTCTGTGCTACAGCAAAATCCCCCCAATGAAAAGGATCTATTGACAGTGAATTGAAGTCGTAGCACTTCCCATGTCTGTACCTTTAAAATATTACCCCAGACATGAAAAAAATATATTTATTTTATGACTCAACACTTCCTTTTTCGGGTGTAAAAATGAATGGAATTCCCGCTCTCGTCCTGTCTCCCAGCGACGGGAAGCGAGGCAGAGGGATCGCAGGGTGAGCTCGCTTCTTTTTTTAGGTCTGATAACCCGTAAAGTCATCAAATTCAGTTCACTGTAGCCCTAGTTTTGTCATAGTTTCCATCAAACAGAAGTGGCTTTAATGTTAGAGCACCAAACGCCTCTTTTTGATGAAAACGATGCATTGGAGGATTCGACCGAGGTTCAAACCAGCTGCGGAAATTACACTTTCAATCTGTACAAATGCAGAAATCAGTACCTTCATATTTTGTAGATGCTTTTTGGGTAAACGATTACTTTTCATTTTCTTCCCAAGTCAAGCCACCTCTAGTTGTGCCAGTTGATGAAAGACTGAGGCGCTCAGCTACATGCGCACGGTTGTCTGGTAGCCCAGACAGCTGACAGTAGAACTACAACAGAGAGGATTAGAAGTTTGATGTTCACATCTCTCCCAATGGAGGTCGCTGAGGATGCATCGGAGTGTTGCGAGGGCTTCGATGCAGCGTCTTCATCAACGTCCCCCCCCCCCCCCGTCCAAGGATCTGTCTTTGATACCCCGGTTTGATCTTCTTTGGTCTCAATCTCACCAGGAGCGATTTATCTTTTTGAATGGTCCCATCTCTCATTTGCCGCTTGTTTTTCTGTTTCGCTATACTTTACTTTTCATTTTCTTTCCCTCTTAACCGCTTCCTTTTGGATTTGTCCCAGGCCGTCCTCCTCGTTGCTCTCGCAATAAAGAAGATTGGCTGGTTCTTGATTGAGTGGATCTCTTAATAGAACTGGGCAGAGCTCTCTGATATGGATCATTTTGGGCTAATTACGTTTAGTTATTCAAAGTGGAAACGCTGTGATGTGCCTGGTTAGTTACACTCACATTTGATCAACAACCCTTTTAGAAAAGGCTCTGGCCGTTGCTCTGTAGTAATTGCTTGGTTGTTTATAGTACGGTGATTATGCTAAGAACATTCTGTCCTGTCCTAAAACATCTATTGCTTACAGCTCTCTGTGTGTGTGTGTGTGTGTGTGTGTGTGTGTGTGTGTGTGTGTTGTGCTACGCTGGATAGATATGAGGCATGTTTATTATACGTGCGGTAGTTGACTTTACAGGGATCAGTACATCGCTGCTTGTGAATCATGGTCATCATTCTTTACAACATCGTAACGGTTTGTGTTTCCTCTATAAAAGGTTACCGCTTTGCATTGTGGGACTGTTGGCAGCAGCAGTGCGTAAGTGTCTTTCCAGATCTCCAGCTCGCAACTCTGAAAAGCATAGAAAGTGTGGTTAAAGGATCAGCTATATAGTGACTGTCTGCTTATATCAGTTAATTTTACTTATTGTAAATTCTTGTTTTATTCTCTTCATTACTACACACACTTGTTTCCATCTGGTTTCTTATTATTTCTCCTGTTTTCGCGTCCTGTGTGAATCCCAAAGATTTCCCCACCGTTAAAGTGCATCATCCTCTGTAGTTTTCAATCTGTCACGCGGCCTCTGAGCAGCATCCGTGTCTCACCTTCCTTCAGTGCAATCACGGCGAGCAGAACGCTTTTTTTTTTTTTTCTTCCGCTGCATTTGAAACTAAATAGAACTCATGGATGAAGACATTAAAGGCTTGCGGGCGGGACAGGGAGGTAAGAGGTGGGTGATCGGCTGGAGGAGCGGAGACACAAATAGATTAGAAAAAGAGAGATGAACAGTGAAACTAATGGGAGTGAAAGATGAAAAAGGCTCATGGATCCGTGAGTCCTAATCCCCCACAAAAGGTGTAGAAAGGAAGGCAACACAGTACCTGTACACCTCTACATATTTGCACATTATTAAACATTAATGCTGACTTTTGTGTCGGTCTTCTTGTCGGAGGCCTTCCACCAGTTTTCCCTCTAAAACCGTGTTGTATCGTCTCTGATGAATTATTGAGCGTTGCCTTCTTGTCGTGAGGGAAAAAGAGTTGTGTTCATGCTGCTAATGTGGGTTCGATATATCATTTTTTACAGCAAACTAGTTGACCCATCTCCATGGGGGGGGGGGGGGGGGGACGTCTTTTTGCTCCATGATTTGAATTTCAGACCATTCCAACTGCTTCATTTCCCTAACTGTTTTTTTGGCACACGACTTTTCGAGGTCACAGTGGACCAGACGCCAGGCCGGATAAACAAACACACAGTACGCACACGCACAAGCTGCTGACGCGTGTTAGACTTTCTGTGTGCATCATAAGTCTGCCCCTCCGTGGCCGTGTGACTGGAAGGTAATTTGGGAACCTCGGACTCGTCGAGTGGCTCCAACCTCCCCAGCGGTCCCGGGAGGCGGCTCCTTTATTTCCAGTTCATTTTTGCGACTTAATGCAATCGCAGTGGCTATCGATCGCGGGACGTCCACCTCCCGCTGTCCCCCAGGTGGCTCTGGGACAATTCATCTCGGCACCCCTCTCCCCCCCCACCCCCGGATGAAATGATATTGAATCTTAACTGGATTGTTGAAAGATACAGTACCCGTGCATCTCTATGAGCGTTTTGTAAAAGGAGACTGGATTAGAATTGTAGTCTGATCTACTAACGCCGCTCGTGGGGGGGGGGGTCTGTTTCTAGGGGGCAAACTGCTTCCATCTGGCGCACGCCGATGCAGATGGACGTCAGGACTGAACGTTGACAACTGGAAGTGACGGATCCCTTCTCCTCCTCACCCTCTTTGCCCCCCCCCTCCCCCACCCGACACCTTCCGTCACGCTGGCAATGTCAAGAGTCCCGAGTCCCCCTCCCCCTGCGGAAATGTCCGGCGGGCCCGTGGCCGAGAGCTGGTGTTACACGCAGGTAAAATGCTCACGCGCACGGTTTCCCCGTCTCCAGGTCGAGCGTCCTCCGCCTCACTGAGTTTCTGTCCCTCCGCCAGATCAAAGTGGTGAAGTTCTCTTACATGTGGACCATCAACAATTTCAGCTTCTGCCGTGAGGAGATGGGCGAGGTCATCAAGAGCTCCACCTTCTCTTCAGGGGCCAACGACAAGCTGAAATGGTGTGTGGGCAAGAAAGCCGTGGAAGCAAATCCCACCTGTCAGATTACCAATTCCACTGTTTATGTCAGTACAAGCGTGTAAACATTCATAGTTTTCAGGGAGAAAAGACAAATAGTCTTTTTTGCTCATGTAATTTAAAAATGATTGAAATTCCACAGTTACTTATTGGCAATAGTTACAATAAAGACCAGCATTATGTCCAGAGCAGATAAATAATAGAAATGTGACTGTAAAGCATGTTGTACTGATCCACTAGACGCACCCTATCGACCAGTCCGGGTAAAACTCGCTCTGAAAGTTGTGTGCGCGAGTAGCGCAAGTATTGTGGCGCGCCGAGTTAATACGTCACTGCTTCCATCCCCTCTACTAGAGATCTTAACTGTTGCACCCTCAACCGCCATCAGGTGTTTGCGAGTGAATCCCAAAGGCCTGGATGAGGAGAGCAAAGACTACCTGTCCCTCTACCTGCTGCTGGTCAGCTGTCCGAAGGCCGAGGTGCGCGCCAAGTTCAAGTTCTCCATCCTCAACGCCAAGGGGGAGGAGACCAAAGCTATGGGTGAGTCTACCGGGAAGCAGAGGCCATCAAGTCCTAGATAATAATAATAATACGTTTTGCAATTTTCTGCTTGCGCTTATTTTCAAACGCGCCCTCAACGTGGACTTGACCTTGTTTGTGCGCCGCGTCCGTCTGCAGAAAGCCAGAGAGCGTACCGCTTTGTTCAAGGGAAAGACTGGGGCTTTAAAAAGTTCATCCGGAGAGACTTCCTCCTCGATGAGGCCAACGGCCTCCTGCCCGACGACAAGCTCACGCTCTTCTGCGAGGTACGCCGCCTCGTCTCCTCCGCGCTCGCCTCTCCCCTCGGCTCCTCGCCGTTCCGTCTTTTTTGGTCACTGCATCCAACTCCTCTCCCCCCCCAGGTGAGCGTGGTGCAGGACTCGGTCAACATATCCGGGCAGAACACCATGAACATGGTGAAGGTGCCCGACTGCCGGCTGGCGGATGAGCTGGGGGGCCTGTGGGAGAACTCCCGCTTCACGGACTGTTCGCTGTGTGTGGCCGGACAGGAGTTCCAGGCCCACAAAGCCATCCTGGCAGGTAGAGGCAGGAGAATCCCTCCACCTGTTCATCCATTTACGAATGCAGACAGTGTGTCTCACACATGAACTCCTCTGCTTCCAGCGCGCTCGCCCGTATTCAGCGCCATGTTTGAGCACGAGATGGAAGAGAGTAAAAAGGTGAGCCCGTGGTTCCTCTGCTTTTGTGAATTCCTACGAATGGTGTTTGATTTGTTCCTCAGTGGCTCAACTGCTCCGACGTTCCCTGCTGTGAGGAGGCCGCGCAGAGCAGTTAGTGAGACTGAACGATGGTCCTGCCGTGCTGTCGGGTCAGGATTCATTCCTCACTGACAAAGCTGCAGAAGCAGAGAATTGCTTTTTTAATTTTCATTTCAACATTTCATTTATAGGAATGAATTTGCAGGAGAGGCTGCACAGATGTTTTCTTTCTTCCTTCTCTATTAGTTTTCTGGAAGAACGAAGAGAAAGCATTGAAAGAAAATACCTTTAATCATCTTTTAAAGATAAAAATATGTTTTAAACAATGTTCCAAATTCAAAAGTCCCTTTTGTCACAAGGAATCTGCTTTTTTTCTAAGTGGAGAATTATTTCATTTTACTTACTTACTTTGAGCTTTGACAAGCATAGTGAACAACCTGTTAAATATCAGCATTACAAACACATTGTAGGTAAATCTCATGCTCTGACTCCCTTACTCACCGTCTCCTTCTGGCAGAACCGAGTGGAGATCAACGACGTGGAGCCGGAGGTGTTCAAAGAGATGATGTGCTTCATTTACACTGACAAGGCTCCCAACCTGGACAAGATGGCTGATGACCTGCTGGCAGCAGCGGACAAAGTATTGTAACGATGCAGCGACTGAGTGGCTTCGTTGGTCGCTTAATGAGTAGAACCTGTTTGGCTTTGTGTGTTAAGACGCTTCATATGTTACTAAATGTGTGTATTTAACGCAATGAGGGTCTCGTATTATTTAGTCTGATGATCTCGTGTCCCCTCTGTCCCTCGGTCAGTACGCCCTGGAGAGACTGAAGGTCATGTGTGAGGACGCGCTGTGTACAAGTCTGTCGGTGGAAAACGCCGCCGAGATCCTCATCCTGGCGGACCTGCACAGCGCCGACCAGCTGAAGACACAGGCCGTCGACTTCATCAACTAGTGAGTTCACGGGGACATTTGGTCCCCGTTGTGTCCGTCGTCTTCATCTTGGACCCACTAAGTTCGCTGTCACCTTCCCCGTGATTACCGAATGTGTCCGTTCTTCCCTGTGATTGTTGGATTTAGGACGCCTCTCATTCAAACATAATTTCCAGAACAACAACAATACGTCCGATTCTGTAGTTGAGAAATGACTCAGTGGTTTGTTTCCCCCCTCCAGCCATGCTGCCGAGGTGATGGAGACGGCGGGCTGGAAGTCCATGGTGGCGTCTCATCCGCACCTGGTGGCCGAGGCGTACCGCTCCCTGGCTTCAGCCCAGTGCCCTTTCCTCGGACCCCCCCGCAAGCGCCTCAAACAATCCTAACAGGAAGACGTCCCCGCTGGCGCGTACGCACACATGCGCATATCCATACCGAGACACAACGACCCCTCCCCTCACGCGGGGACATCCCTTCCCCCTCGCCGTGGCCCACTACGATACCTGCAGCCTCCCCCCGAATCTGCCCCATAAGAACTTTTTAGTCTTTTCTGAAGATGGAGGGAAGAAGGAGGTGCAAGAGAGGGGCGGCGCAAGTTTACAGAAAAAAGAACACAACCCCGTCCCCCTCCAACACCCGACCACTGTGGTGTGGACTCGGATCCCTTCGCCTCTTCCTCCTCCTCCTGCTGCTGCCGCTGGGTGCAGGCCTCACACTGACACAGGAAATAGTACTGTTCCTGCAGGAGACGCTGCCGTTCTCGGGTTGCCATCCGACTGCTGTGAGGACCTTAGCGGGGAAGGAGGAGGAGGGAGACGCCAAAAGTAATAACTCACATAAGATAAAAGTAACAGAACAGCACTGCTGGAAGCAATGGAAAGTCATTAAAGTGGGAGGCGATGTCTGGAAGTGCTGCATCAGGGATGGCTGTCAGACAAAATGAAGAGGACCACATTTAAACTCAATCCCGCCGGTCTGATGGCGGATAAGCCTCAGGGGGGCAAGGACCTATATGTCTGGGATTATAGCAAAGCCTCTCTGGGAACTGGTCACTGTTTACATTCCAATTGGCGAGTTGAGATGCAAGACCGGAGTCCGAGTTGAAAGACATCCCCCTTTTTTGACCGGATTGTTTCACAAGTAGCCGGTTACCCTGTTTTCTTACCATAGCAGTGCAGGATCTCTTGTCCTGCAGGGATAGCTTTGGATGCTCTGACAGTCACAGTGACTCCGCGGGCTGTGCTTCCGTACTCAGTCACACTCTCGCTGCAGTCAGCTGACACACTGGTTCCAGTGCTGAACCGCAGGCTGGTGTTGGGACAGCAGGAGTGATTCAGAAGACTGAGAGTTGGGGATATTGCCAGTTTGAATGGGGAATTTGCCTGCTGGACTGAAATTGAAAATTTGCATGCTCACGGGCCGTTGGAGGAATAAATGAAACTAATCTATGTCTGTGAGCCAACTCACAGAAATAGTCCATAATTGCCTGGGAAAATCTTTCTTTTAAAAATT